AGTGGAGCATGGTCCAAGAGCGCGTGGCAGCGTGCGAATTTAAAATGTTTTCCCGCTTACGTAATTTTTATCTAATCATAGTGCAGTATTCTTTGTAGTTAGATTTGATTGGTTAATTTAATGTGTGCAACAACAAAAACTTCGCTGCCCCTTAAATTCCGTCGCCGCCTGTAGTATGGTTGGTGTGATGTGATTTGCACTGGTTGACGAGGTTGAAGGCACATTTTAATTTGTATTTAATATGAGTATACTACTATACCCCCTCCGGTTGGCTGAAAATCTATCGAAAGATCGTAAGCTTATTGTTCAACCATTGTCAGTCGCGCTGGCATGCGGACGACGTGGACAAGTGGACGGCCACTGGGGACTTCGCCTATCGTCCTGCTACAGATGCATCGCATGCTTGTGCTCATCTTGTGTATCCTCGCAGTGGCGTCGGTGGCCTCTGCACAAGTATCAGACTACGCACCACCAGCCACGGTGGTCGAGGGCAGTGGCACAGCGGCAGCCGCTGCCATGCAAAGCTTGCACGCAACGTTGCGTGCATTCGAAGCAAAACAAGCCGTGCCAAAGCCATTGCCCCAGTCCCACAACGTGGATCTATGGCTCGGTGGCATCCAGTACAAGTCGCGGATGTCTCCGCAGTGGACGGACGAGGTCACCGGACGTCGGTTGCGTCTGGCCACTGGGTTTGGTCGTCGCGATGTGGTGGTGGAACCAAGTCGAACCTTCGGCGGGGCTAGCTCACCTTCATGGCGTGTGCGGCCATTCCGCGAGTATGGGTTTGGCGAGAGCCAAGTGGTGCGGGTGTCGCCTAGTGGGTTGGACTTTGGCGTCCAGGAAGCATGTATCCCGTCGCTGATGACCGTCGAATTCTCGTATCGCGCCGACACGCTGGACGATGGAGGTGTAGCCAATGACGATAGCACTTCACCCACCAACTCCCTGACCGAACAGCTGCCACTCGAAATCCATGGCATCCACATCCAGGACAAGCAGTTCCTTCTTGCCGAAGTGTTCGCTCCCATAACGTTGTCGCCCGGCAGCGTCCACACATTCCACGTCCTCTTCCTTCCGCATCGACACAGCTCCACCACCATCCATTCCGCCATGACCTTCCAAACGTCCCTTGGTGATGTCCCGTACCCGCTGCGGGGCTCTGGTGTTCCGAACAGGTACCGCGTGTCCGAGTTCAAGGCGTCGATTGCAGCCGGCGTACAGTTCGACCCTACCATTGACCTGTACAACCCCCACCCCCAGGTTCGTACACACAACGATCGATTCCGTGGTGGACGTCCTGATTCTGATTCCAATCGACATTTCACACGATCGATCTGATTCCATTCTGTTCGGTACATACACATATGAGTCACGAGATTGGCCTGATTCCATATACAGTACATGGTGGACCTGATACCATGATACCATGTACAGTGCGTAGTCACGATGGATCTGATTCCATCAACTAATACACACGATGGACCCTGATTCCATCACGTCGTGCCCGTTTGTTGTACGAGTGGTCGACATGTTTATATGGTGGTGATATTATCCTATTGGAAGTCATGGTGGCGATTGTAGATGTTGCGCGTGACTGAAGTGTTTACCACCGAAGGGTTCTTACACGTGGAGTTGCCCAAGGTACCACCGTCGCCGCCGCCGCCTGCTCCTCCATCGCCACCTAGGAATGGTTCACATGCTGACAACCATGAGCCAGTCCATTCTAACCACGACCTTCCACCCAATCCCATCGGTTTATGGGAGATTGAACCCGCTACAATGCGTCCTGTGATGCAGCTGTCTTTCGTATCGTCCACACCAGGAATTTACACTGCCTACGTGAGAATAGAGACTGACTACCACAATTTGATCGTGCCAGTGGAGCTCACAGTCTTGTCCGAGGGGCTACATCTGGGAGCCACTCATTTGAATTTTGGCATATTGGTCAATGACGACGAGGTATGTACATACACTTTACCCTTTGGACATGCCAACCTGGTCCTTCACGATATAGAATGTTGTGGTCTTTTACGTGTTTTCATCTCCTGATTGGACTTGTTTTAATATCCGTGTGCCAGAGTACGATATATATATATCTATGTATATATTTATATATATATTTATATATATGCCATGGACCGACGGTACAAATATTGTGAAGTCTGCCATGTGGAGTGTCACCTATATTATTTTATCTTTTTATCCGTGTGCCGGAGTACGATATATATGTATATGAATTGGGCAAACGGTGTAATACTAGTATTGTTAAGTCGGCCGTATTGAGTGTCAACTACTAGTACATATTTTGTCTTGAAAAGATCCAAGTCGTCGTATATTATGGACCAGCTGTGTACCATCTGTCTTGGTGCAATAAACATATAATTATTCCTTTTTCCTTAACTATGATTTTCAAAAGTCAACTTGTAATGAAGAAGAATACTATGAATACTTTATAACAATGGGCGTATTATCCACTACTATTATAGTATTTTGATAGCGATGGTTCCTATCCGTATGGTTGTTCATTACTTGTTGCTTGAAACGAATTTGAACCAACCAAACTATCAAACACAAATATATATAAATATATATTCTAGGAGCACCACATTGCACTGGACTTTATCAACACGGGCCATACCACCGTCCTGATCCAAGGCGTGAGTTTGCAGTCACCTGATAGCCACATTTCCGTCATCATTCAGGGCTCCCATGCCGTCGCGCCCATGTCTAGAGTACAGCATGGGATGGTCGTGTCCTTTGGCAGCACCGCCGACGCCGGCACGTTTACCGGCAATCTGATAGTGCACACAAACGACACCTCGGGTTCTGGGCCAGACATTTGGTTAAACTACACAGCCACCAAAGTGAACGGTGGCCTCGCATTTGCCCCAGAAGATGTGCAGTTTACGTCGTGCGGGGGTGCGGGGCGGGGGCTCGTGCTGACGAACCATTTCGACACGCCCGTGGCCATCGAAATGGTGCAGCTGGTGCATCCGTGGTTGTTTGCTCTGCACAACTTTACCGGCAACGCCACCGCCGACGCCGGCGCATCCTGGCCACCCATTTACTTTGATTGTGTCGTGTTGATCAACGATATTCCCGTTACAAGTCCCGTACGAACTCACACGACGTCGCACTTGCTCGTTCAAACCAACGTCTCCCGTCACGTCGTGCCTCTCGTACTGTCATCCAATCGATTGACGTTGGAGACCAAACATCGTCGATGGCAGGCTGTCGTGGTTCAAGAAGAGGATGTGAACAGCAGCACGTCCCTGCCTAGACGGGGCTTCCGACTGGATTTGGGCAATGTATCGTTATCTAGACATGTTGCAGTCAACTTGACCAACTTTAACCCGAATACCATTGCCATCCACAGCATTGTGCCTCATTTGCCATCTGTAGAGGTGTATCTGGAACGTCCAACTCCGCACTTGGCCGCGTCTGTGATAGCGTACGAATGGGTGTCTGCTGCCCCCCCCACCGAGGGTGACGACGACGACGACGGCATTACCACCTGCGACAACGTTACGTCAACATGTAGACGTCCGTCCAACTCGTCACACTTTGACGCCCCTCTGTCGTCCACGTCAACCAACAGTGCCTCCATCCCCCCCGGTTTTGCCCTTCCCATGATCCTTCACATCACGCCGGCGTCAACACCGTTGATCGATGTGCTAGCGTACACGATTTCCACGGCCTACGAAACCATCGACGTATACCTATCATACGCCCCTGTCCAGGGAACCATCGCCCCCACCCGGCGCCAGCTCCGTACAACCTCCCCCTTATACCCCGGTCGCGCCGAAGTGGTCCCCCTGCAGGTCGACAGCTCGTTCAATTTTGCCGTGCCTATCACGGCCATCCGAGTGTCGGACCGCCGCGTTCAAGTACTCAGCCAAGCCGCAGAACTCAAGCCCAACGCCACCACCGTCATGGCACAGCTCATCGTGTCCCCAGCGTACGCGTTCGGGTGCGCGAGTGCCGACAAGTTTGCCGACTGCATGCTGCCGGCGCCGATCGGTTCTGGAGTTGTAGGAGGGGGTGGTACGACGACGAGGAGGACGAGGTCGCTGTCGACATTTGGCCAACCAGTGACCCAAACCGACGTGGACGCACACTTTCAACGCCTCGAGCGCTTTTCCCACTTGCAAGGGGACGACTCGATAGTCGAGGTAAAAGTCGTCGTGTACACGGACTTGGTCGCCGTCGCCCCTGTGATTGTGCGCATGTCGTTGGCGCGGCCGCGGCTACTCGTAGCCATTGCTCGAACGGAACCAGCTAGTACTACTAGTCGTACGACTAGGATTGGTACTAGCGACGACAGAAACGACATTGACGTGCCCCTCACGCACGTGGGCCACGTCACCAAAGTGTGGCTATCGGTGACGAATCCGTCCAACGTGACGATAGACGTTGGGTTGGCCTTGCTGGCATCCCCCCCCTCCTACTCATCTGAACAAGAAGAGTTTAACAAGAAAGAAGGGAGTGGGGGACGACGAATAGGAGGTAGCGGCGGGTTCTACGCGTGTCCGAGCCATTCCAAACAGAGGGTGACGGCAACGACGGCCTCCTCTTGCAAAGATGCATGGACGTCCGCGGTGACAGCAGCAGCAGCTTCTACTCTGTCGTCGTCGCCTCCAGCTCGCGAGCCCGTGGCCGCGTTCTTTTTATCGGCGACGCACAAACCGAGGTCGTTGGCGCCCGGGGAGACCGTGACGTTGGGCCCAATCTTGTTTGCCCCGACGGCTGCCATCGAGTTTGTCGGGCGGGTGTACCTTCGCAACACACTGAGCCATATTGAACCGATCGTGGTGCGGGGCATGGGCGGCCAAGGACATGTCGTTGTGCGCAACAACGTCGTGTTGGAATCCCGTGCTGATTCGTATGTGACGATTCTACTCGAAAACGACGGCAATGTGCCGCTAGTCGTGTTTGGGTGGAGCTGTCCCCGTTGTCGAGTATGCGACGACGTTGACGACGACGCAAGTAGCGGGTTTTGCGTGCAAGTTGCAGAAGATCTTATCCCCCTGGAGGTAGCCCCCCACGGGCCCCCGTTGGCCCTGAACGTATCGTTCGTGTCGGCATGCTCGTTTTCGGTTGAAAGGGAGTCCATGGTGTGGCGTACATCGGCAGGTGACGTGGCAGTACCCCTGCACGGCATTGTAACCGACTTGGATCAGTGTCTTGGAACGACCCGTATGTCGTACCTGTACAGGGGGTTTCGGTGGCTTGTGTGGACATTGTTTGCCCTAGTGGCGAGTCAAATCATGCACTACACGGTGCAAATCGTATGGATCGACTGGCACTCGCCGCCTGCTGACACGAGCTTTGGGTGGTCCCCCCCCCCTCATATTGATTCAAACCACCTTCGACCACCTCCACCACTATCTTCAATGTCTTCATTTCCCCTCGACCCAGTCGATGACTCGTTGCTAGCAGACCAACTCCAAGCGATTGAAACCCAAGTATTGGACAGCTTTACGTTTGCCCCGATTCGAAGCCCTGCTGTTCAACGTCTGCTCGATCAACGCAAGGCGGTGGCGGCGGCTTTGAAAGACGCACCACTCAAGAAGAAGTCCAAGATGAAGAAACCAGTCGCGCCGCCGTTGTCGTCCCCCATAGTGAAAGAAGCCACGGAGGAGGGGGACGCCAAGCTAGTGCTCGAGGCCACCGACGACGCAGATCGAGTTCAGTTAGCGGCGTCAGGTGGGGAAGTGATGTCGCACCCAAAGACTAGTGTCACGGTGAAAGTGGCAAAGGACGATGCGGATATGTCGACTCTGCTAGAGTCTGCCCCGCCCCTTGTGCCGAATAATTGTGAGACTGGCACGGCACACGACAACGAGACAACATATGTGCAAGGTGGATGGGCAAAAGATGGTCAGGTGCAGCCAGATATGGACACGAATAGACGAGACACTGCAGTGGTGGCTCATGGAGGCTTGGGAAATGCTGCGGTGTTCCCGAGTACATCCCAGCGAGTCGTCGGATGGGTGGCCGAGCTGTCGATGCAAGATGGGGATGGAGGTCAAGATGAAAACGAAGGTGGTTTTGCTGTCACTGCAATCGACACTACCACCACCAGCGATGAAGACAACAACAATGTTCTTGAACTTGATCAAGATGATCATTTTGGCGACTACGTTGCGAAGGAACGTGACGTGGGCGGGATGGAGCATGCACCACGTTTCGACGCAGACGGGGATGACGTTATCGCCGTCGGGGGCGACGAAGATGACGTTATCGAGGATGGCGACCGCATGGATTCGGTGGACCTATCAGTCGACACCACCTCGTCGTCGTCGTCGTCGCGGACGGACCCCCACGACGACGATGACGTTATTCTAGACAACGATGACGTTATCGCTGCACTGGACCCATTTCCACGTTGGTCGACCAACGACTCGGCGTTTGTCGAGTGTATGAACCGCCACAACACGATTGCGATGGACGAAATCGATCAATTGATGCAAGAAATACACAACGAGACGCAGGCCGTCGTTCCACGCGAGCACGCTCTGGACGGTGCCACGTCATGGACGTTGTCGCCCGATCCGCATCGCCATCGCCCGTCGGCGTCCTTCCCGCCGCCTCCCGGCTTTAGCGCCGCCGACGCCGACCCACTCGCCGTGTCCCAGGCGTATTCTGAAATGCGCCTATTGCATCCCCCTTGTCCGTCATGGGACACTAACGCGTTCAGGGCCCCGCCGATGCCACCGTCCTACTTGCCAGGCCGCCATCACCGCCCAGGTTTCATCGGGTCCCATCGGCAACCCCCGACTACCACTCCTGTCGAGTCACCACACGCATATCAAGAGTGTCCTCCCCAGCAGTCGATGGTCAGAAGCCTGGCGACCCGAAAGGTCGCGGTAGATAGCTTCCGCGCCGAGAGTTTGCACTCGGAATCGTCGTCCCCCATGCTGCCAGACGGGCAGTTTTCGTTCTGGTAAAATAATACTAGTATACTACTACGTAGTAGTAGTAGTAACTAAAGGTACTAAAGGTGATGTGTCGATAGGTTGTGTTGTTTCGCATGGAATTGTGTCTCATAATATGATCATGGAATTGTGTCTCATAATATAATCATGGAATTGTGTCTCATAATATGATAACGTTACCAAAAAATGTAAAATGTCATTGAAAACAGCACATACCATTACGACGCTCTCTATCCCGATTTGTTTTGATTGGACAAATGTTATCTTTCTTATCTTTGTTTTGACCAATGAATCTAATTAAACGTCTTGAACCTATTTTTCAATCGCGTGAATACGTAACTTCGAAAAAACAATTGTAACGTTAGGGGAACATCTTGAGATTGAATAATGTGGCGACATAACGTTTGTTATAAACGGCAAAGTGACGTAATTTTCATCGTAAAAATGAATAAAACGTAGTAAAACGATATAAACGGCAAAGTGACGTTATTTTCTGCGCATGTTCTATCGAATCATCTCGCTTGGAGTGTATCGAATCATCTCAACTATATTAATACTATGACTTAACATTTGTAATCAACTACCTTGGAGTGACGTTAACTATTGTACAGGTATCGTGCATGTTCGTGTGCCCATGACTGGCTGAACGCACTGCACATACCTCTCTCTCTCTCTCTTCTCCACGACCACCCTCGCGTGATTGTCCACTGAATTCGCCGTGGCAAGCGTATGACAGTAGATAGGGTGGGACACTCAACACATCCGGATAACGGGTGGGTACGACACGCTTCTGATTGGTGGAAACATGGGATGAACTTTGAATTTGGGACTGCCATTGGTGCAAAGTGCAGATCGTGGGCGAGCGTATCCGGATATCGTCGCCAGCATCTCAAGATGTGTGCCGAAAGGCCAGTTGACACATTGCGCTCGCTACATTCCATTGCGCTGGCTGTCTTTCATGCTGGTGGTGCTGCTAGAAGAACCTCCAAGTGACCACCACCGTAACGTCCTTGCGCTAGCTCGCGACGACGACGACGAAGTGAGTATCTTAGCCGAGCCAACTCGATCAAAGCGCCATCGGGTCGCTGCCAAGAAGTCATCAGGTTGGTCGCAGCTTTGCCAGCGCCTATCGACATCCGCCGAAGTGCGCTACTACGCGTTATTGGCCCAACTTCTCCACAAGGAACACGCGCGTTTGGATCCGCGGCAGTCGCGCGTGCTCACCCAGAACGTGCCATCCCTTCCCCCACCGCCATCGCGACCCCCGTCGTCGTCGTCCCATCATCATCAACCTATGGAAGAAGCTTCGTCCGTCGTCGTGTCGTCGTCTTCCTCGTCCGCTCCGTCGGCACCTCCTTCCCGGCCATCCGTCGACCTGCCGCCGCTGCCCCCGCTCGACTTTTCTCCTTCCAAGCACCGCAAACGACCGCGAAGCATGAGCTTGTCGTCATATGAGACGTGGACATTGGATTTCCCGTCCATTCGACCGGGGATGTCCGTGCGGGTCGTGCGCGCCGAGCGCACTGCGTCGAATGCCGTCGCGCACTACGTCATGCATGTCGTGGACTTGCACACCAAGGTGATGTGGGAGTGCCGGAAGCGTTTTCGAGAACTTTATGCGTTTCGCCGCGAGATCAAAACCATGTGCCGCAACTCTCCGTACGGCGAAGAGCTTACGTACTTGTTTGAGCACTTGGCGTTCCCGAAGCGATCGGTGGTGGGCCAGACCAGTGGCGCCCGGATCCTGCGGCGGCGCCTCGTGCTGGAAACATTTCTCCGCAACGTCGCGAGCCTGTCACCCGACACGCCGCTGCATGTGGCCGTGGTGGGACGGCTCCAGAGGGAGCTGTGTTCGGCAGCGTTTATCACCCATTTGGCCAACGAATCAGTGGACGTCGACACGACCAGGTGCTCGCCGCACGACCTGGTCGAGCTCAAATGGCTCGCATTTGACCTCTTTCGCAACTTAAACTCGTGCTGTACCATCGAAGGCGACACATGCCAGCGCTTCCTCCATGTATTTCGGAACCGATGCGCAGTCGTCCAGGATGCGCCGCCCTCTGGCCAACAAGAGTTGGCGCGCCAAGCCCTCCAGGACCTGCGCAACGTCACAACCCAGATCCAGCATTATGTCCTCGACACCCTTGGGCCGCAGTACCGCCGCGCAATTTCCACCGCCATGTGCGATAGCCACACGATGGAACAAGTGGACGAAGCCATCGACGAGTGTGTGCTTGTGACGGTAGAGGACGCGGTGATGGTGCCCCTGCAGGAGCAGATTACGTTTTTGGTTGAGCTGACCATCGATGTCGACGTGGAGGCGGCGCTGACTCGAAGCATGGAGCACGACTTGTATGGGAAACCCCAGAGCTTTTTCGGCATCCCCGACGCTTTGCAGAGCGACGTTAACTTTGGCAAGGCGTGCTACCACCTAAGCATGATGGAAGACCGAGTCCTGCCCCACGAAAAGCTCCATGAGCTCGTGTTGTCGGCAAACGAGATATTTGCCGCCTGCGGAGACGCTAGGGGCGGCACCGCGTCCATGGGCAACCCGACCTCGACCATGATGAACGCCGACGACTTTTTGCCGATACACATTTATGCTGTTGTACACAGCAACCTGAAGCGGCCGTATTTTGCCAAAGAGTTTCTCAGTGCGATGATCCACCCAAACAAAATGCTTGGCGAAACCGGGTACTTTCTCACGATGTTTGAAGCTGCACTCAAGTACGTGAGTGAAAGCATGTAATAAGTAGGCGCAACCAAATGAAAAATGGGGGTACTGGTATATACTATACTTGTCGTATATGGGGTTGCGATGGATCAATCGTGTGGCGATACAGATATTGCAAACAGAGACTAGTAGGAGATATACTACGTAGTACTGGCTGCTAGTATATTGGATGTGAAGCGTGCTACGTACGACTACGTAGTGATACACCATCTAGTTGAATGTTCTGCATTGGTTTGAGCTTCAGACACTACGTTCAAGTGTCCATAACGACACCAAGTCTAATGGGGGATTACATAGGGGGGGTTGATACAGTAATAGGGTTGCTGGGTGAATGTAGTACTAGGAAACGCGTTCCATGCTAGCCTTCGGGGCTAGCGTGGCACGCGTTCCAGTGGCCAGTCACTTGCCACGCCCAACTACACCACGACAACACAAAGCTGTCGCTCGTTCGTTAGCGTCAAGTCCCGGAGGACTTCGAGTGCCCCAGGAACCCCGTGACCTTGCCACGCTCAACTACGTCTCGTCAGCCCGAAGCCACCGTCCGTAGCTAGACATTTCTTGGGTCCCTCTAAACGACACCATCCGGCCTACGAGCACCCCAAGGCACCCAGTACCGTCCGGAGGGTTTCAGCCGTTCGTTCTCCCACGCGTCCACAACAACGTCTATACAGACAAGAAACGAATGACAACTTGTAGTGAGATGCATTGTCTTGGCTTTACACCACTAAGCTTACTGTACTGTACTGTATTCCTTCAAGACTATCATAGCGTGCTTGTCACTGGGTGTAGCTTTTGAAACAGTCAACCTTGAACTTCCCCGTCAGTTACGAAAACCTTGGAAACCAAGCAATAAGCACATGTGTGGGCGGTGATATACTTCTCGGAGGAGACAGGCAGGAACTTGCTTCATCGACCGTTTCGGAGATTTTGCATACCCCAAGCAGACACTTCACGTCTCGTCCCCGCCCTCCCGATCCCAATCCCGTCATGTCAGTTCATTGTCAGATTTCACTTGCTCTCGGCAGCAGTACTACTACTACCAGTGTTAACCACCATGCACGCTGGACGACTACTCGGCGCCGCCTTGGCGCTAGTACATATCCTACTCACCCCCACCTTTGCCGCGGTCGTGGTGTGGGACAACACCGTGGCGACGGGGGACGTGGTGGTGCCGGCGGGGCAAACGGTGGTCCTGCGCAACCGCAACATTGTCCGGGGGCAGTTGACCATCGAAGCCGGGGCTGCCGTCACCGTGGACCCAACGTGTGACAGCGTGTACCTCCAAGTAGGCAACGTTGAAATCAACGGAATTTTGAGCATTGGGAGCGCCGCGGCCCCCTTCACCAAGACTGCGACAGTGGCCCTGGGGTGTGAAAAGCCAGCTTTGTATCCAGCGACGGACGACCGGCGCTACGGTGTGAACGTTCGCCAGGGGGGGAGTTTGCAGCTGTTTGGGAGCAAAGGCACCAAAGTGCCGTGGACGAAGCTAGCGTTAACGGCCGTCGAAGGCACCACGTGCATCACACTGGCCGACGACACGACGGGGGATTGGGCCGTTGGGGACTCGATCATCATCACGACCACTGACTTTGACCCGACTCTGACCGAGCGCCGCACGATCACTGGCTTTCGATCTACTTGTGTGGAAATCGACTCCCCCCTCAACTATATGCACTACGGCGCGTTCACTCAAGGGATCGACCAGCGGGCCGAAGTCGGGCTGCTTAGTCGCAACATTCAACTCGTGGGGTGCACGACCAGTGGCCTCGTGGGGGGGCACCTCAAGGTACGAACACACCACTCCAATGTGCGGTTCATTGTTTGACCTTCCGATATATGTAGATGAACCAAGGATTCCGAACTGCCCAGTTGAGCGGCGTGGAGATTCGCGCGTTTGGCCAAGGCGATGTCATCGGCCGGTACTCGATTCACTTTCACTTGACGGGGAACGTGGCGGCCACGAACTCGTTTGTCAAAGCCAGTGCCATTCACAGCTCGTACATGCGGGCCATCACCATCCACGGCACGCAGAGCGTTCTGGTCGAGCGCAATGTTGCGTACAACATCACCGGACACGCCATGTTCTTGGAGGACGGCGCCGAGTTCAACAACACGTTCCGGGGAAATTTGGTCGCATGGGTGCGCCAGAAGACATCGGGGGCGTTTCGGCTCGGGTCGGATGCGCTGCAGGGATTGTCGGCGTTCTGGATCACGAATGCCGACAACGTGTTCGAAGACAACGTGGTGGCGGGGGTCGAAGGCACTGGCTTTTGGCTGCACACGCGGGCACGCCCGAAACTGCCAAGCTTCAAAACGGGGCTGTATCCGACGGTAGCCCCCCACAAGATTCCATTGCGCAAATGCACGGGGAACAGCGCGCATTCCGTGTGGAACGGGTTCCGCATCGACAGCGTTGACTTTGACCAAGACGACCAACCCGCCCAAGACTACACGGGCGCCCCGTCGTTGGCGTACGAACCCATGGCCCTCACAGTCATTTCCAACTTTACGACACATCACGCGCGACAAGGGGGGTGGTTTCGCATTTTTCAGATCGTCCTCGACAACTGGAACGTCGCCGACTGTCGAGAAGGTATGTGTGCTGCATTGGGATTTGAAAATATCGTTGAGAGGGGGGGATAGTGATGATTTGTATGTGAAAATGGCGGACTTGTATTCGATTTGATCCTTGAACAAACTATCGTTTACAAACTACCGGTATAACTAACTGTCCCATGACTCATTATGTAGGCATACAATTTCTCACGACGGGCAACACGGCGACGATGCCCATCAACGGAACTATCCGCAACAGTCATTTTGTTGGGAGTTCGTCCAACCGTGGCAACCAGTTCACCAGTGCGTTTCAAAAGATCAACTTTATCGAAGCTCGGTACTGGTTATAGTTTGATATTGGTTACTCAAGGTTGACGTACAATGCCTTGTCGTAGGTCGGACAGTGCGCTCCTGTTGGCAGATGTCATTCAAATGGCCGTGACGTTGTACGATGGCCCGCACTACATCGAAAACACGACATTTGAAAACTACATTTCGTACCCGTGCTTCAACTACTACTCGACCGCGTTTGGAGCTCGGGCGTTCAATACGTTTATGATGGCGACCACAACCCAAAGCACCAACAACAAGTTCATCAACACTGAGTTTCCAGTGTTCATGTACGATCGAGTGAGCGATGGTGGCAAGACGACGTTAATGCTCGACACAGATGGTTCCATTTCCGGTACTAGATACAACCTCCAAACAAACACCCCCCCTCACCTTATTGACACAATAGGCCAACGCAACGCTGTGATCGCTCCCGACTGGGACTTTTACTACACCCCTTCCTGTGTGCGCAATGGAGGGTACGGCCTCGCGTGTCCACAACGCTACAACAACATTGAAATCGTTCAGGTATAAAATAAACCTATTTTTGGAACAATTCCCACCTCTTAACTCCTCGTCTTGATAGATTGATGGCGATGGCACCAACTTGGCAAAGTATGGAGAGCTCTACGTCGTTCGAGCCAACTTGGCGAGTCGCAGCGGGGGACTTGCCCCTCCTCCCCCCGGCCTGTCTTTCCAAGGACAGTACATTCCTGCGGCTGGGGGATACCTCTATCACCCGTCGCTATCGGTCGGAGCGACATATGTGATGGGGTTTACCACCCGCACGCCCCCTATCCTTCGTGTAAACATTGTCAACGGCCAACAAGGCGACACCCACACGATCGCGTTTAGTTACCCCCGAGGCACGACCATCACGTCGGTAATGAACGTAGCCAATCAAGCGCTCAATCGGGCCACGTCGTTACTCGACCGCACGTGTGTGAATTGCTTCTTCTACGACTCAACTTTGGACCTGCTGGTACTGCGATTGAAGCAACTCCTCCCTCGTATTGATCCGACTTTGCCCTGCCCAGCGTCTGGGTGCGACGGCGTCGTCGTGCGCGCGACCTTTCGGTCGGCCACTTCGTCGACGTCGGTCACCGACTGCTCCACCCGAGGCGCCCCCCTGCAGACCCTCGACGACGCGTGGCTCCAGACGTCGTTCTCCAACAAGGAATCGTTCAGTTTGGACATGCCCATCAACTTGGATTGGTGTCAAATTGGAGACCCGTGCCTCGAGTCGATTGACGTGGGCAACCGCGAGCAAGGGATTCTAGCGTACGCGGACTTTCCCTGCAACGGCATTGGATGTTATTCAAACAAGTGTCGGTACTGCAAACTCTCGTTCAGTGCCTCCAACCAGCCGTTCTTGCCGTGTCCGTTCGAGACCCGTCGTGCCACTGGCAGCCCGACGACAACCCCCTCTTCCTCGCCCGTCCCCCCCTCGACACCTACGTCGACCCCCACGTCAGCTACCGGCGGTGCCTGTTCGACCTACGTTTCCGTAGGGGACTCCGCCGTGGGCATCTCTGCCATGCCGGACCTGGCTTGCAGCGTCGACAACAATCGCACGGGATGCTTCTTGTCTCGATGTCGCTTTTGTATGGCAAGGGATACCCCCCTCTCCCGCGTGTTTGTCCCGTGCACTACTACTCCCCCAACATGTGCAAGTCTGGTGACGCCTGGGGACCAAGCCGTGGGTATTTCGGCTGTCACGGACACCAAATGTCCCAACAGTGTGCTTGCTGGCTGTTTTGCAGACAATTGCAGATACTGCCAGACCCGTCCCACGACCCAATCGTGGCGGTTTGGCCTTTGCAGCAAGGCTGCGCCAAGCACCACCATGACGGCTGTGCCGACAACAAAGCCGCCTTCTACAACAACCCAAACTCCACTGACTGCAACCCCCTGTGATCCGACCACCACAACAATGCCGCCCCCCCGACCTACTACGATATTGCCCATAACTACAACTACTACCCCCGCACCGGTAACGACGACAATGACGCCCTCACCTACCGCGGTATCGCCCGCATGTGCCAGTCTTGTGTCAAATGGTGACCAATCTGTGGGTATTTCTGCCGTGCCAGACCCCAACTGCCCCAACAGTGTCCTTCCTGGCTGCTTTGCCAGCAAATGTAGGTATTGCCAAACCCGTCCAACAACACAATCGTGGCGATACGGACCGTGTATTGTCCCTGCGCCAACCACCACCACGACGGTAGCCCCCACCACAAAAGTCCCTGTAACCACAACTCAAGCTCGAACGACTGCCGCGACTACTACTTCCCCCTCGCCCACTACGACCACTTCCCCGCCTCTCGCAACGACAACAACACCTGCATGTGGGGTGTCCATAGGTGACGCCGCGAGCGGTTTGGGGGCATTTTACGACCCGTCCTGTGCCAACGGGGGTTTGGGCTGCTACTCCAAACTGTGTCGATTTTGCAGAAAGTCACCCGTTGGGATGTATGTGATATGTCCTCCAACGGTGGCAACTCCCAAGGGAATTACCAACAACATCCAAGGGGACTCCGCCAACGTCGCAGCTTCCTTTTCCACGACGACCAACACTTCTGACGGAGCCAATGCCAGTGCTGTATCGTCGTCTGCGCACGACTTGACTGCGGCAGAGCAGGCGACGGGTGTGGCCATCCTCTTGACGCTCTCGGTTGTGCTGGCTCTGGTCGTGAAAGCTGACATTCGCCGTCGCCAGTTGGCGGACAAAGCGGCCAAAGTCGCCGTTCCAAGCATCTTGACCTTTGATGCCACCGCACTAGACAACAACGACAACGATATAGCAGTTGTCGACGTTGTCGATGTAGCCCCCCAAGATAGCATTCTATAATAGCTCACTCATATTTGCATCGAATACATGTATATATTATACACTCTTATTGCAGCCTTTCTCAACGTAATGATGGAATGTGACCAGATCGAATGATTGACAGTTGAGACTTTACAACGGTAGCTTGTGGTGAACAGTACCCAACTTTTGTTCATTTCACGATTGGAGGTCGCCATGCTATTGATTGTGGGTTGGACATCCCTCTTGCTAACGCTGCTTCATGTGAGCATCCCGACCGCTGCTAATGGGGGTGGCGGCGTCTCGAACTCTTGCAATCTGACCAAATTTTGCGGCATTGCGTGCTTTGAACCCGAGATTGAAGGGTGCTGCAACGGCACAATCTTCTCGCTTGTGGTCCGTCAATTCCCCATCCCCCGCTTGCGTCGCCAGTCATGCTGCCTAGCTGTGGACGGCACGGCGTATGTCTCGTCGTTCTGTCCGATGTTATATCGCCCTCTGATGAACGCAACGTCGCCCCCCGTTCAGGTGATCATTGCGCCCCCGTTTGTGATTGCCATCAGCACCAATGTGTCGGGTCGAGCCGGCAACAACTTGACGGCGCCTTATGGAACCTCCAACACGACCGTACTGCCCCCGTTGATGTCTCAGGCGACGACGGCGTCCCCCACTGCGACCACCCCTACTCCAACAACTGTCTCGCCCCCTGCTACCCCAGTGACGACCGCGCCTGAAGCGACCACTGCCGAGACAACAACTGTGGCCCCTTCCCCCATTCGCTTGGCTACAGCCACTAAAACGCCTACGCCGACACCTACGCTAAACAATGGGTACACAGAACCTGGGCGTTTGTTTGCGTTCGCGTGGTGCGTTGGAATGGTCGTGGCCACCGCTTCTGTAGCGTAACTACATGCATTGACAAAAAATATACATGTGCGCCAAGGGGCGCAATGTTATTGTTCTGTTTGAATCGGTTACACGTAAGTGAAACGCGTTGTGAGTATTTGAAGGGACACATAGCGTGAGGTTGCATCAGCGCCCAGTAGGATCATGGAGGACGACGACAACCGGTCGGCGGATTCTAGGGAGGATCTGGACGATGTTCAATTTGACGTTGCGTGGGATGACATTCTCATGGACAATAGTCCCAGCATCAGTCCATCGAGCCAGAGTACCAGCAGCTCCCCCAAAGATACTAGGAGTGCCACCACTGGCAAGTCCAAACGAATGGGAGCAAGGGTCGACTACTTTCTAGGGCCGACAAAAGCCGACGACGTGGCATCCGCAAGCCCAACCAAAGCCAAGAGTTCGACACAGGAAGCATCATGGAGCCAGAACGGGCCACCTTTCGATCCAATTCCGACACAAAGTACGCCGCCAGCGACAGCACCATTTCAATCAACCAATCCTTGGGACGAAGTATCTTTACATGCCCTAGCTGGACAACGCACCTCGCTGCATGATGACCACATTTCGTTGCCAAGTACTCAACACCTTGCACGTATGGTTCCAACCAAGTCGAGCGAGATTGACAACCTCGTTGCAACTTTCAGCATGTCATCGTCGATTGACTCTGACTTGCAGCCGCCCAAAAAATTGTCGGGTCAATGGGAGTGCGAGGATGATGTTTCGGTGGTTGTCCAGGGTGATCGTGCACTACCTCCATCGTTTCCACAAGTAAAAATGCCCTCGGACATATTGAAGCCCCCACTTGCCTCGTCAGCAATCGTCGTGCCCTTGAACTCCCCGACTACTCATCCAAGTAGAAGGGCCACCGACGCAACGTCCTCTGCCTCGATGTCGTCGCGCAATCCCCCATCGCTGCCGCGAATACAAGGCGAGGCCAACGACAATTCTGAAGGCCCCGTAGTGAAACGAGTCAAATCCTCCAGCAGCCTTCCCCGTGTCGTGGATCTCTTGGACACACCTCAAACCCCATCGAACACTTTACCCCGGGTCACCGTTGCCACCCACGTAGACGACGAGACCACGTGGAAGCAACTTATGCAAGACGACGCCGCCATGGCATCTGTTAAACAAGCCCTCCGAGACGAGAGTTCAAGTTCCGTACCTCTTTCCAATGCCCCCCGCGCAAAACGCAAGTCGTTCAACAGTGCTGCCGCTACCACCACCCCTCGATCGCTTCCACCAGATAATACAACCCACGCCAACACTCACCCCGCCCCCATGAAAATCAGCTTGGAAGAATCCAAACGCCAAGACCTGTGGCAGACCCTACGGCGGGGCTCGTTGGCCATGGCCCCGATCAAGCGCACTTTCCTCCCGCCAGCTCCAGTCGTCGCAGTCCCTTCAGAAACCTGCGTGTCCCCGTCGAAATCTCAAACAACCTTGCCGGATGACCCCCCCACCACTACCATTCTGGCCACTTTGGACCAGAAATTAGCAGCGTTTGAGTCGTATTTAGGAGAAACCCAAGCCCTTCGAGAGAACTTGGATGAGGCCCGAGCGACGATTTCAGACCATGTCAGTCGCATCGACGATCTGACACGGCTGAACCAAGTGCACGAACAAACAATTCAATCGCTCCAAATGCAATTACAACAATCCACGCAACGGCAGACCCGCGACTCGGAAACCAACGCGACCACCATAAGTGCTCGGGTGTTGGCTTGGGAATCTTTTTCGGTGCAACAACAACGTCGCCGTCGTCGACAAATGCTGTTGGTCATGACGTGGCACGCCTGGCGAGGGGTATGCCGCCTTGAAAAAGCTCGACGACTCGCGGCTGCTACAGTCGTAGCACGACTGCTTGAGCGACGCGCAGCTACACATCAAGCATTGCGACGGGCACTACAGCAGCTTCAGCAAATCGGGGCTATCCAAGCGGGATCGCATGAAGCGTTACAAGCCAAGCGAATGGTCGGAGAATACCGTCGGCATACTCGAGAGACCGCGGTGCAATGTGCGATGCTGTTGGTGACGAATAGCGTTCGCAACCACTTGTCGCGTGCGCGGCAGAGCGCGTTTTGCAAGTGGAAACGTATCGACCAGACGTTAAAGGGTCAACAAGACTCGTTTAGACAAGGGGCTTTGAAACTCAAAGCGTGGCTTTCGATGCATTGGATAGCTGCGACGCGGCTAGCGCTGCAGCGGTGGGCGCACCACCACCACACGTTTGGGTGGCAGGCTGCGGTGGACACGGCGGCTGCGCACGCGGTCGAGTATAAGCAAGCCAAAGAGTGTGTGTTCGACTTGACCTGCACCGCGAATCAGCTGCGAGAAGCCAACGCAGCGCTAGCCAGTCAGTTGACCTCCCAGCAAGACAAAACGACGTCGTTGCGGGGCGAGCTTCAGTTGACAAAGCACGGGTTTGTGGCCACGGTGGTCCGACGGATGGAACGCGAGGGCGCTCGGGTTTGGTTTCAGGCGTGGCATGACCACACCCTGGTACAACAATCAACTAGAGTCCTGCAAACGACTGTAGCCGGGCTACAAACCCAGCTGGACGAGCGTGATCGGTTCACCAAGTCGTTGGACGCGTACAACCAAGTGCTCCAAGGCGACTTGGAGAGATTTCAATTTGTGCACCAAGACACACGACTGGCCGTGGACGTATTGACCAAGAAATTGCTCAGAGAAGAATCCAAACACCAGGCCGTGGTGGACGAACTTGCGGCTGTGTCGGCGCAACTTCAGTCGCTGTGTACGATCGAATGGGATGACCAGTATTATCATGATCACGACGACGACGACAATGCCAACGACATGATGTCCCAACCCCAGCTATGTCCTGTTCAACTGCTTCAAGCTAGCAAAGATTTAGTCGTGGAGCGACTGATTCAAGTGTTTGGCATCCATGCTGACCAGGTAACACACATGGCGAATGCTTCTGCTACTGGGAGGGGCGTGTACTTAATGTCTTGGGACAATTGCTACGAGCTTGTACAGTCGACGCTATGTCGCCGCCATCATGTTCCCCCTGACGGTTCCAACCAAGCGCAGCCCCCGTCGATGTCTTTGGCAGAAGACATGGAGATGTTGGCGCAGCTCGACTCATTCTTCCCTCCACCTCCCATCACGTTGCGCGCGTTTGTCATGGCGCTGTCTGCTTTCTTGACGCACATGCAAGCGCACACGACGGACGACAGCGTGCGTCGGCGGCTCGCGGGGTTTTGGCGGGCGCTTATCGATGCATCGGACGAGAATGACGATGAAGGAGGGGGAAGTCGGCCGTCGACGCCGTCCACCACAGCTGCGTGGACTCGCAAACACAACAAACTTAGCGATGACATCATTCAAAACCAAGAAAAACTCTTGGCTGTGCTCGAGCACGAAACCGCCGTCGTCGAGCGGGCGGTGCTGGATAAAGCGTCACTGAAACACACGTATCCGACCGATGACGACGGTGAACCGCATGAACCCCTCCCTGTGATTCCATCGACACCCCCGCCAACAGCATCGCGCAAAGATTCGTCGCCTACGTCTCCCTGTGACCCTGATGGGTGGCTAGCCCTGCCCCAAGTGCGAGACCTTGTCTTGGCCTACCAAGTCCCGTTGCTGCAACTGTATGTGAAATACGCCACCCCCCACAGCTATGCCATGGCTACGTCCACACCGCAAAGTCCATTTGACCGGCAGATCGACCTCGCCGTCCACACGTTAGCCCCTCGAGACATCGCCATGTCCCTCCAAGGGGCGCTAAAACTCTTTGAGGACCTCAAATTGTTCCCGGTCGTCTTTCCCCCAGATACAGTTGCTACCTATTATACGGCCATGGCTACCCCCCACTCACCTTCTCCGTCCCCCCCGCCTACATCGTCGCAGCCCCCCATGATGTTGACCTGCCCCGGCTTCATCAAACTGTTTGGTGCGTGCATTCTAACGACTTATGCTGGTCGCCCGACATCCATGTCCATCCGAGAGCGCCTCCACACATTTTTCTACGAATTGCACTGGACAGCGACCACCACACGACACCCGAAACCGTGCTACGTCGGTCAAGAGATTGAGAGCATTCTGTGGCCATTATTCGAATACTACAGTGGTAGCGGGGGCCACAACGGGCCAGTCCCAAGTTCTGCTACGAGTGTATCGTCTGCGGTGCCTACTACCTCGGATGCCAGGTTGGCCATGACAGCAGCCAAGTTTTGTCGATTCATGGCTGACATTGCTGGCGCCGACGGAAGCCGGTCCGATGCGGAGCTGATGTTTCGAAAAGCTGTCCGAGTTAGTCGCGGCACTGCATTGGCGTCGCAGATGGCATTTGACGAGTTTTACATGGGCATCTACTACATGCACCAGCTGAGAGACACAACCAAACGGTACGACAGCCCCGGGGACGCCCTCCGCGAGTGGATGCAGTTGATCTAACGATAATTATTACTAGTATGAATGGTGTGTACCAAGTATTAGTATGCAGTAAGTAGTGCGGTGTATAATGGCACTTTGACTCTTCGACTGTATAACGTTAAGCTATACAGTCGAAGAGTCAAAGTGCTATTATACACCGTACTAGACGTATTTATGTAATCAAAGCTAGACTGGTGGAGGGCGAATGAGCCCGGATAGTCATCCAGAGCCGCGTCCAAGAAGTCGTTGAACCTAACCAGGTAGGCCCAATGGGAAGTGCCTGGTGACGAGGAACTTGTACAAGTGATATAATATGAATGACAGAGTGACTTTTGAATCAGCAGTTACATACTATGAGCCTGGTCGTTTCGCATCGGTTTCAATCGAGACAAGCAGCATATTGTGCGCAAATGAACGAGTCGGTGGCAGTGTTAGACTATTCCCCACGAGAGGGGGGTGGTAGCTATGGAGGATCACCGAGAGAAGATTTCGCAGTCCTCACCCCGTTTCCAGTTATGGAAGCACGCCGACCGGATGCCCCGATGCCGCTGGATGTACCACCAAGCCGCTTCAACTACATCCAAAAGCGTTTGGCTGCCGCGGCAACATCATCCCCCCACCACAACCATCCATCGATGCTTTGCTTTCCCACCTCTGAGCCACTCACTACGCAGCGCTACTATCGGTTCCGCCTCCTTGGATTGCTCGCCATGCAACTTATGGCAGTCACGGCCGTTGTTGCTGTGATCACGCACACCCTCGACCTTTCCGACATTGTATCTCGATGGGTATCGGAAAAACCACTAGTGCTTGTGGTGTGGGGAGGTATTACAACCGTGCTTTTGCTCGTCCTGTACATCGTTCAACATCGCGATCGGTGGAATGCAGTGGTCCTCATCGCGTTCACCGTAGCCCAGAGCTTGCTCATTGCGGGGTTCGGCTTATGGATGCATCGAGTACCAGTTGGCTTGTTCGTCGTAGCTGGCACCGCGGGGTTTATGATTCAGTTTACCCTGTTCAGCTGTGTACGTGCCAGCGGCAGCCAGTGCAATGCTGTCGACCGGCTGTGTAATTTGTGGCAGGCGGGGGCGAGTGCATTTGCAACGACATTGGTCATGTCTGTGGGGTGTATGCAGATCGAGGCTATCCAGCACTGCCTCAGCTGGACCGAATGGAGCTACTCCATGGGGTTTCTCGGGGTATTGGCGATGTGGCTAGTCTTTGATGCGAATGGCTTGCAGCTGTGCCTCACGCAACCCCACGAGTACTGGCGGGGCGTGGTGTACTTTTACACGGACATTTTGCTGCTTCTGGCCTTGCTGGCGTCTCTCACGTGTGTTTTGGCATGTGGAGACAGTGGGGACGTCATTTGTGTGGGACCGGTGTGGTGCTGCGGCGGCGGCACTAGGCCGATCGAGTCACGACCGCCCGACCTCGCTGCTGCTGTTATCGACGGCAATAGTAGCCACAACGGTGTCACAGTGTAGTAGTCAAAGTACAGCTGGATGGTTGGTTGGTTGTCTGGGTGGATGGATGGTCGATCCTATTGGTGTGTTTTCGACGTAACCTTGCGCGACGAATGGGAGCCTACGGCAACTTTTCGACAGCTTGAACAATTCATTCGAAATACTCACGTAACGTCCATCCAAAAAGCGTATGCACGACAGCCCCAGAACGAAAGCAAGCCCGTAAAGAGCGCGCTTACTTGGATGAAGCGACGGCTGTAGCTTGTACAATGGCCTTGAGATTGCAACCGCAATCAAAGTACCTTTCCGAATTGGCCCCGCCGACGTAGATTACAGGCTTATGATACAACGGTCAGCTACTAGTATATCCCAGTTGTCAAATCGTTCTCACAAAGAAGCCAAGGCAGACGGCGCATGGCGAAGACTCAAGGTTCCACCTGTAATATTATTACTATATACTGGTATTGTGAATTTGCTATAAACTTCCGAAATTCGCGTGGTTTGTCTGATCAATATTCAATCATGCTGGAGTTCTGATTGGTTGAATATACTTGTCCTTTCTGTAAGAGCCAATCAAATACACTCAAAATTGGATTAACCAATAGCCTATAGCCAATAGCGTCGATTATTCGTGATTCGATTCGACGGGGTCTGGAAATTTGTACCGAATCCACAATATATGTATATATATTTATCAATTACTAGTATATTTTCAAAGAAATATTGTTTTGTTATTTTGACAAATGAAAAAAACTAATCTTCGTAGTATTTTTATGTAAAGTTATAAAAAACCAGCCTGGCGATTCCAACGGATAATTTGAAGGTGCAGTGGAGACGAATCCAGCTGCAAAATTGGGTATTGCAAATGTACAGGACAAGTAAAGTTACACCATTTTTCCTTTAAGTTCACGTTATTTCCGGTATATTTCGGAAAAATGGTGTAGTTTTACATTATTAACTGTAAATCGATCGATTTATTAGCAAGTCGTAAAATCATTAAAACCTAACAATTGCCATTGAAACGGTCGAGTTAATAGTCGTGGCCTTTCAGCGCGCGGTCAATTTGGCGCTTGACGTCGCGGCCGTCGTCAGTCTTGCGTGTGTCCGGACCTTTTCGTCTTGTGCATTGGCCAAGCTGGATTTTGATCCAGTTGGTCGTACCAAGATGCACTCGCAGTGGCACCTATACACTCCAACATGACAAACATAAGCGAGGAAACCAACCAAAATGGTGTACCAGATGTGCATTCGACTCTCGAGCAAACTCAAACAATCGCTTGAGTTCGCTTCGATGCGCCAGGAGCTTGCGCACGCGGTAGGGGTCGTGTCGTCCGACGATACCATGCCTCCACACTACAGCCACGTCGGTCAGAAGCGTGCTGTGGTCAAACATGGAGCCAGAGAAGGTTGGCCGAGCGTACCTGGGATGTACATTTGATGCAAATACAGCTCGTTGTCATATTCCTCTGCAAACGCCGCCGAGATATCGCAGTTGCCATCCCGGATGCTCTTGACTTCAGACGGAAGCAACGAAATCCCGACCTCCAACTCCTTTACCACATTAAACTTGCTGCGACCCACATGGTTCTCCACCACCTTTCGGATGGGAACCTTTGTGTCGATAGCTACATGCCGCACAAAGGTGGTTGCCTGCACAAGGTGCCGCGGAACTGCCGCCGCATGTCGAATTCCTGCCAGCATGGTCACGAACCACAACCACCACCACGTTGAAGTTCCTGGTAAGTCCGATGTGTCGACTTTCTGTTTACTTTAATCAAGTATATCGTATTTTAATATTGTTGATACTTGACCTTGTATTAGACATCATCTTCCATATTTAAAAAGCTCCAACTCACGACCAAATACCAATTAAAATAATTATTTTTCGAAGAATTTATGAATGATCTCATATTTACTAGTATTTCAAAACTGTACTAGTATATTAAATTAGCATGACCTCCTTACCTTCCTTGTCGTGGATCCAAAGATTTTCCCACGAAGCTATTGAACTCTGCAACGGTTCAAGCAGGATGATGCACCGCTATCTTCTCGGCCGCGCAAAGCATGTTGCCCGCCTTCGGCGTTGTAGCATCCCTTTCGATACTCGAAGCTTGTCTTCTACACCGACGCCATCGCCACGCGACGATCTTCCGTCGTCGGCGGACGTCGTAGTCATCGGGGGTGGGTCGATTGGTGCGTCAACACTGTACCATCTAGGTCGGCTGGGGGTCAACGCGATCCTGTTGGAGAAGGATCGAATGACAGCGGGTACGACATGGCATAGCGCCGGGTTGCTGTGGCGTCTCCGCCCGAGTGACATCGACATCCAACTGGTACTGTACATATCCATCTCAAATGTCATGTTCATGATGCACATTGGTTATAGATTCGACATACGCGGGACTTGGCCAAGTCTTTAGAAGCAGAAACGGGTATTTCCACGGGTTGGGTAGAGAACGGTGGGCTTTTCACCGCCAACAACCACGAACGGCTATCCGAGTACCACCGACTGGCCACGCTCGGCAAGTACTTTGACATCCCCGCGCAAGTGCTGTCCCCGAGCGACACCAAGGCGCTGTATCCGCTCATGAACGTGTCGGACCTCAAAGGCGCGTTGTACTCTCCAGGGGATGGCACGATCGATCCGTCTGGCTGGGTCGCGGCGCTCACAAAGGGAGCGCGGCAGCTCGGGGCCATGGCGTACGAGCACACGCGCGTCCAAGCTATCTTGACCGCCGGCGACGACCAAGGAAAGCAGGTTACCGGCGTGCAAGTCGAAGGGGGTCATGTGATCAAGACCAAACGCGTTATCAACTGCGGCGGCGTGTGGGCGCCGGCGATCGCCAAGCTGGTCGGCCACGTCATTCCGCTGTGTGCGATGCATCATGCATATGTCGTGTCCGAGCGCATCAAAGGGATTCAAAACATGCCCAACATTCGCGACCACGATGCGTCCGTGTACCTCAAGCTTCAGGTAACAAGTATGTTAAGGATGATGTATGTGTATGTATGTCGACGATACTGTAGTGGTAGCCAAGTGGCTAGGCTTGAGAGATTGGTAGCCACGTGGCTAGCTGGATTCACCTTTTCGTAGCCTAGGTGTCTAGCCAAGCTAGATTTCGGCTAGCTAGAGTGAACAACTGGCAACCTCTTTTTTCTTGTTGTTTCCTCTTTCGGTGACGTCTGGCATGGTTTTTCACGTAGCCAATAAGCCAAGTGTAGCCTAGCTAGAGTTTGGCTAGCTAGTATTTGCTGGCTGGCGGTAGTGTAGTGAGGTAGGTTCAATCTACAATGGTAGACTTTGCACCTTAACTAGACGACGAAGAAGACCTATGGCTAGCCAATGCTTTCCTGGTCAGCAGTGTAGCTATCGTCGCTAGCGAGCTACCGTGGACCTTGATCTGTGTCTCATGTGTGAACCCCTGTGTTGATCTGAGGATAGACTTGACTAGGGTGACGTGCTTCAAATCGGCGGGTACGAACCCAACCCTATCTTTTGGCCAGATGTAGACCCGAATTTTGCGTTTTCGCTGTTCGAGTTGAACTGGGATGTGTTTTCACCTCATATTGACGGCGCCGTGAACCGAATCCCGATCCTTGGGTCGACGGGAGTCCGGTCGACTGTGTGTGGACCCGAGTCGTTCACACCAGACCATAAGGCGCTGCTGGGGCCGCTGCCGGGTGTGTCGGGGTTCTACTTGGGCTGTGGGTTTAATTCCGCCGGCATCATGTTGGCGGGGGGATGCGGGCGCGAGCTGGCCGAGTGGGTTGTCCACGGACGTCCATCGCTCGACATGTTTAGCTACGACATTCACCGATTCCATCCGTCCATGCTGGGACATGCCACATGGAACAAGGAGCGTTCCCATGAAGCCTACGCCAAGAACTATGCGATCGTGTTTCGACACGACGAGCCACTCGCTGGGCGCAATATCCGGCTAACTCCATTTCACCGAGAGCTGACAAAGGCCAACTGTGTATTTCAGACACGCCACGGATTTGAACGGCCGGGGTACTTTGCCTCTGCAGAAGTCGTAGCCGTCAAGCCGTACACGTACTATGGCGCGTACAACAACACCATCCACTCGACAGACCACTACTTGGCCGCAATCCAAGCCGACACCACGTTTGGCTGGCCGGCGTCCCATGCACTTGTGGGGCGAGAAGTCGCCGCGTGTCGAACTCACGCCGCCCTGTTTGATCAGTCGTACTTTGGCAAGTTTTACCTGGACGGACCTGAAGCCACCGCCGCCATTGAGTACCTCTGCACCAACCAAATGAAGGGCGAGGGCAAGACTGTATACACGCTCATGTGCAACGCTCGGGGGGGCGTCGAGTGTGACCTGACGGTGAGCCAGGTGGGCCCCCACACATACTACATTGTCGCAGGCGGGGCGTCGGCCACCCACGACTGGGAGTGGATTCGAGCCAACACTCGGCAGTTTGATGTGACACTGACCGACCGAACCGACGAGTTTGGCGTGCTCAGCTTGCAAGGTCCGGCGAGCCGGCGAATTCTGCAAACGCTAACAAGTCTCGACTTGACGGCCGACATGTTGCCATTCTCGAGCCATGTGGTCGGCACCGTCGCGGGCGTCGCGGGCGTCCGTGTGCTCCGGCTAACATTTGTAGGCGAGCTCGGGTACGAACTGCACATCCCAAAGGCGGGCTGTGCCGCAGTGTACGCAGCCATCATGGCGGCAGATGCCGCAGTTGTGAACGCCGGCTACTTATGTATGGACTCGATGAGTGTGGAAAAGGGGTACAAACATTGGCACGAAGACTTGAGATCGGACGACACGCCCGTGGAGGCGGGTATGTTGTTTGCAGTCAAATTGTGCAAACCAATCGATTTGTTTTTGGGAAAACATGCGATCGCAGCGCAAAAGGAGCGCGGCGTGGCCAAGAAACTCATTGGACTTACCCCCAACGACCCCATTCCGTTGCATGGCAACGAAGCCATCTGGAGAAATAATGTGTGTGTGGGGTTTATCCGGCGCTGTGCATATGGCCACACGGTGGGCCAAAGCGTCGGGTATGGCTACGTTGTACATCCCGATGGCCACGTGATTACGCCGGCGTATTTAAACGACGGAACGTACGAGATTGAAACCCTCAACGAGCGCCGTGTTCCCGCCACGTTCCGCCCCAAGGCTGTGTTCGACCCGACGAATACCCGAGTTCAAGGCAACTACGGCGACATGACGTAGGGGAAGGCAAGGGGGGGGTAGATTTATATAGGATAAACCTAAAATGGCTAAACGGAATTGGTGGCGGTAGGTAGTACTGGGTGTGTTGTGGGATGTGGGATTGAGGGAGGGAGGGGCTGCTGCTGGTACTGTAGTAGTTCGTGTAGGGGAAGGAATAGCATTTGCGGATGTATTTGTGTGGATGTGTGCGTTGAGATGGGATTGGACGGGGGGGGCACCAATGTGAGGATTGGTGGTGGTACTGTTGTAGTAGTATACTTCAGAGTACGAGAGAAGATAGGGAAACACAGTGCTACGGGATAGCGAGGCAGAAGAAGATGAGGGGAATTTCAAGGGCGTGTCTCGTACTACTGTACCAGTAGCTTGGCCGCAAGATAGGGATAGAAAATGGTGTGTGTGGTGCCGAGTATTCAAATGGGGAAACTTGCAGAAATGGTGAGAGGGAGACAACTGTGGGGACACTACAAGTAGGCAAAGTATATTGTGCGCTTTGCCATGAACAAAGGGGGGGGTCAGATTACTGGTTGGTTTGGCAACTTCACCTTGTCGACGTTGATAGCAGGAGGTTCTAGTCGACTTCTAGTACTAGTTAGTAAGTTGCGTTCGTTCTGACAGAATATCCTAAGGTAATTCATGTAATTCCCCGGCCAGATTGGCCTACTTTCTGACTGCCATAACTCGTCACCCATTCTTCGGATGAGCGAAAACATGCATTTTCAAGATAGTCACAAGCTTTATAACTTTATGCAGGTCCCATTGAGACTTATGTATACATGTTGAATTGCACGTCTAACTGGAAAAATCAATTGTGCTGCTTGACTATGGTAATGCATCAATTGTTGAATTGCATGGAAAAATCAATTGTGCTGCTTGACTATGGTAATGCATCAATGTCTGACTTTTAGCCAATAGCATCTCTATATTTCGTGTTGGCCTTGTATGATTGGATATGATAATATTCGTCTCTATATTTTATTACACGTCTCAATGCTGAAGTCTCCTCAAAAGTCGTGACCATAAAGCTCAAAACATTTAATTTCGATACAAATCTGAAATGCAGTCCAATCATGCTCTATGATACGTCAAAACAAAAATGGTGGCGTTTTATATTCTCTTGTGGTGCTATCAGCATTAAAATAGTCGTTCTCGTTCTCGAGCTACTGGGATTTGAAGTCATGGCCAAAACTTGACCAAAAACAGTGTCAATAATTGATACCTTACTATTAATAATAACTGGTACTATTATTAATAATAATAGTACTTCGAAGTATTACGGAAGACGGTGTTTCATACAAGATTACCCAATTTTGACCAATCATATTGATAGTAGTTGTTTCGGTGCGCACGGAGTGGCACACCTACTTTATTCCTTGACACTTTATACCTCGTGTTTGGTACAGGTTACGTGGAGTGTACGGGTAATGAATGATATGTACTGTAGTCAATCCTCCTCGGTGCTATTGACAATCAATTGGGTCACTGTATATAGCACCGGACCTCAGCACAATCAGAAACAGTAGAAATGGGCGTTACCAGGGTTGTGCACAGCAAAATTGAGGCTTGCACTTCACATGGCAAACCATTTTACAGTGGTTCCAAGTGTGAACCATGCACTGAAATTTCCTTTTTTGTTTGATTTTACTGTAGCGATTGTACCCCAGAGAGACCTTGACTTATGGGGGCACCGAAAGTGGTAACGTTAGACAAATCCCAACGCCTATCATATCGACAAGCCATCCCTTGCTGCTGTATGCCATCGATGCGACGTATCGTAAACAACTGCACATTACAGTTCTTTCGTGGGGTGCAATACCATATTGTGTTAAATCAACCCATAGATTCGGCCAAGATTGGTAGGCATATCATCAGCCCATAGGTGAGGCCATGATCGTCAGGCATCGAATACGTATAGATGTGCGGTCACGTTGTGATTCAATTTTCTGTTAACATTATGGGGAGTAAGCTAACATTCGATTCGAAATTGTTTGGTTGATTATTGACCTTTTTTTAGCTGTACTAGCACAATTCCCCGATTAACAGTAAAACAGTTCCACTGTTTCTCCCTTTTCTCAGAAATTGGTGTTTATATGGGACTGTTATAGTATACTCTGACCACCTCACCTCTTATGTGCATCTCACAGTGCGATGTAGTTAAACCCGGGGATTTACAATTAGTATATGTACCCATCAGAGGTAGACCGGAGTCCCAGGTTACAGGGCTGCGAGCTACTCAGAGTAGTAAAGTGGCGGGCTAGTAAAGTGCATCCGGATGGCAAAATTCCCCCATTGTAATAGAATGCCTCCATGTTGGAGTGGCTACAAATGTACAACGATTGCAAAACCTGGTCAACTCAGCATTTCTGAGCATCGTACAGCGCCAGGCCATGTACACATCAAAGTGAATGTGCATGGGAATCTTCTCAAGTTCAACCACCGAGGCCCCACGTTCCAGCCACGTGCCGCAGCTATCAATACTGTAGTGTTCACTTTCTATAACCTAAGAACCTAACTGTAAGTTTAAAACTGATAAAGCCAACAGATTGATGCCTTGTTAGATACCCCACAGGATACACGAAAACTCTCGTCTTTAGGATAAAATCACCAAAACGTTCGATTAAATACAATTGGAGCTACATTCCTCCGTAGCATTCTCGACAGCTACACGACCACTTCCAGTGTAAACGTGGTCGCTCGCGAGGCTGCTTCTTGGAGATCTTGAAACAGTTTGGACTGTCGTGGACTCATCGCATCACAGAAAAAATCGAGTTCGTCGACAGCGAGAACTGGCGGCGCGTCGTCGATGCGGGTGGGCAAAGGCGACTGGACGAGAGCACTCAGACTCGGTCGTTCGACACATCGCTGCTTGCGAGGCCGCTCTGTGGCGGAGCTGCTGTCTCCATCGTCGTCTTCGCAACCGCTGCTGCCTCGCCGTTGTCGCTTCTTCTGGTCGAGTTTCATTTGGTTCAAGTTGGCCTTTTCGCGGTGAAACGCGCACAGCTTGTGCGGCTTGCCGTTGCGCTTGTACGCGCGAGCGTTGAAGCATTTGCCGGTGCGGTACGCACACTTTTCCACGCTTGGCGTTGGCAGTGACTGGCAATCAAGGCCATGCAGTTCGAATTCCGACGGATAGTACTGTGGTGGCATGTGGGGGTGGTAGTCGGCAAGCATCATTTTGATGGGGTCCGTAGTGTACGATAGGCACGACGAGGATGAGGGTGCCGCTGCTGTTGGTGGAAGGTGCATTTGTGCGAGGCAGGAAGTTTAAGAATGTACACAAGTAATCAAACCAAATGCATTTCGGCAACACAAACAAAAAACGCCCTGCCTCGAAAGCCCACCTTTTCGCGGACGTCAACTTGCGCTTGGCGATCGTCAGGCAGCAATCACTGTTACATGCTAGTAATCCAGAGAATATGCATTTGACAATCTGATTAATTTATTATATATTGGCCAATGGCATTTGTTTCGTATAAATGAAGTATGATTGTGTCTTTGATATTGCTATTTTAGTACCTGACATACAGAAATATCGACGTTCTCAACCTGCGCTTGCATTATTTTGATTTTCAAGGTATATCTCTAGATATTTGTATGAAGGGCTGAAATAATTTGCTCGTGGCCAGCGCCCCGACATCAATTTCAATTCATTGCCTACGAACATGCAAACTGCAAGATACATACGCAACCTGGACAGTGCAGTTTAGTGCATATGACGTGAACTGGATGATAATGAAGTACTAGAACAGTATTTGCCACAGAACGTTCGTTCGGTTCTTGTGTTCATCCAGGTCCATAGAAGGACAACCTACGTAAATGTTTCTATTAGCTGCAGCCCTTCCTGTATCCCAAGGGCCGAACGTGATTTCGAATGAATGCACGAATCAATGCCAGAGATATACAGCACGCTTGCAATCGTACGATTCTTGAGTGGGTATTTTCACAGATGGACGGGACGATTGTTCAGTCAACGGAAGTTTCTGCAAATTGCCCTGAGTTTGTATCCCCCAATCAACCTGCCAGTTGTTGTAGCTTTAGCCCACGACAAGGCGCCTTGTTTTGTAAATTACAAATGTACTGGAATGGGGGACCTTTCCTCGATCAAGCGTGAACAACAATATCCGGATAATCCTTCAAATTACCCTATTGCTACATACTATGTGGTACGCTTTACAACCTTATTGGGTCTCAATTGTATCGAGCTGGCTGCAGGAATGAGATTCTTCGCAAAGAATGACATAGCCTGCTGCTCATTATTGTCGTCGTATAATACCTCTCACCACACGCGTTCCCTTTAAGCATCAACCATAGAATCAACCATCTACGTGTTCCCTTGAGCATCAACCATCGAATCAACCTTCTAGGTTGGATGATATTTGCTGATCTAGGGTAATTCGACCTAGATTAGTACACCCACCTGTGAGTGAGTTTTTAACTGCAACAACACTCGATGCCCACATGTAGAGACCACACAGTCCGCCTCCCGCGATTACAGTACTGTACACTGTATACAGGTACATTTTGTAACTTCCTCTAGCTTCATTCTATAGCCTTATTGCGACAATCTCAAGAATGCCACTTGCCCTGGCACACAATTGGATGGTCCTCTAGGGTACAAGTGTACTAATACTATGTAAGTATGTTACCAACTTCCAGCCTCGTCGACATAGTGTTTTCTTATGTTGTTGCTGGCTTCTAATATGCCTGGCTGGCTACACTCGACCACAGATTCCTCATCCTTCACGTTATTCCAACTAGTAGTACTAGTACATGGTATCGATCGTTACTGTATGCATATACTAACTACATACTAGTACACCGTGGGGGGTACAAACATCGACACTAACGTTACGCAATCTACACCCTCCACTGTGAAGTTCAGTTCTAGTACTATTACTAGTAGTACTAGTCAGGATTCCTTCAAGCAACAGATCCTACTAGCCCTTGTGTCTAAGAGGCACACCAATACTGTACAGTACATACCGGGGTAACACTCCCCCAAACAAACCCCCTACTTTGCTCCTTTATACTACGTATCACATCTCGTCATGCTATTGTTAACAGTTAAATACTAAGCGCGTCGCTGGGATGAATATCGCTCCATCCTGTCATTTCCGTGTCCGCGAGGCGGAAGTCGCCATCCATTTCCAAGCAATTGTGGATGGCGTACAGAAATTGCTTGCGGCACACGTCGTCGGTCGAGTACTTCGGGAGGAGGAGCGCAAAAAAGCACGTGTGCGACTTGGGCAGCGAGTCGTCGGGGTTGTGGGTCATGCCTTCGCCGGACGCAGACTGAATCTTGAACTTTTGGCCAAACGAGAGCTGATCTTGGGGGAGCCGGGACCGCGCCGACACGAACCGGACGAACGCGCATCGGTCGTCGTCGGTCATGTCGACGAGTACCCGCCAAAACCGCATCACATACGGATCATCCGCGCTCAAATCTTCGTCATATTCGGTGTTGGCTTGGAGGAGGGGGACGTCGACTTGGGCGCGGCCGCACATGCGAGTCTCGAGCTCCGCGGGGGTGAAGAGGGCGACGGCATTCGCGGGTACGATCGTGCACAAGCCTTGCCGGATGGCTTCGATGGCGGACGCGCTCTCTTGTAGGCGGGTGATCCGGACCAAGTCAATGTACTCGCGGACGTTGGCCTGGGTAACTTTGATGACGTGGCCGCCTGGCTTGAGTGCGACCAACGTTCCGTCGGACAAGTGGGTAGTGAAGGTCAAATCGAGGTCGTGTAGCGTAGTGTCGGCGGCGTCGAGGTGCTCGAGTTGCTGGAGTAGTGTGTGCGCGGCGGTATCCACCTCGGCGAGATCTGACGAGTCCAGAGGTACCCCCACCAATTGCTTCCAAATGGCGGTACATAGATCCAACCGTACCAGTACGCGAGTACGCAGCAGAATCCCAAGCATTTGGCCGAGAAAGTGATACATTTCGTGAAATAAAGCCGTGTTGTCGACGGGATGGTGACTCGCCCCCTTGTTCCACTTTGAAGTGGCCGACAACAAAGTAGGGTTCAACACAAACTTTTCACGATGCGATCCAAGGCCATTGCGCCAGTTGGGACTTGGCATTAGAAACGGCAATGTGCACTCGACGGCATCTAGAAACATATATATATTATATATATTGTCAAGTCGATTCGAAATTGGAGTGCTCACACAATCGATATACGACCAATCAAAACCCAGAACGATAACCAAGTGGCCAATCAAATCCAATCTTGTACCATTTCAACATCGAATTAGTATGTGACTGAAATTAGTGTGACGCTGGGACGACATACAAAGAATGAATCGATAGATTTGGCCAATCAGCACAGAAGTCCAACGTTTGGGTAAAAGGACAATATATAGAGTATATATTGGTGTCGATTGAAAATCCACTGGCGACGAATATATAAATAGATATATATAAATATATAAATTTTACCTGGTTTCAGGGATTGCAACTCGGACACGAATTGGGCGAAAAACTCCCGGTACGGACCACCATAGTCGTCGGCGCCTTCGCCTTCAAACTTTACTTTGAACGCTCGTAATTGACCATCGTCCATAGGATGCGAATACACCTACAATTCGCCTATTAATATATATAAATATATTTATATATATATCCATCGCCCATATATCCATCGCCGTCTAATATATATATATATATATATCGCCGTCTAATATATATATATATCGCCGTCTAATATATATATATTATATCCCACCACCAGGAATATACTACTGTAGCATAGATAATATATCTATCAAAAAAGAGACAGATATAGGACCACAACACACACGTACGTACCATTCGAAGTACTTTGTTGTCGAGAAAATGCAATTCGTCAAACGCTTGGCCAAACAAACTTTGGCTCACGACTGTGTCCAGCTCGAGCTTAAATCGGGCAACCGCTGCTTTCGGTCGATTCACTGTAACTTGGGGCAAATCTTCAGGGTAATCGTAGTCGTCCTCGGCTTTCTTTGGATGGGTCAGCGTCTTTTCTAGCAACGTGTCGAGAACGCTGTGCTTGAACGACGTAAACAGACACGCCCTCGTGGCCGACAAGAGCGCGCTGCCGCCGCCGGGGCTTCGTTTCGGGTTAAAGTAGTGCCACGTCAGGTCAAAGAAGGGCATACTGCGGCTCACGAGGTGGTTCAACATCTTGAGCACGCCGAAGCGGCCGACGGCGGCTTCGACATGTGGCGCCGACGCGACCAGTTCGCGCACCTTGGCATGACCAATATTCCACGGACTCGCGCGAGAAGTCGCGCATTCGACATTGAGCAACTGGATGAGTTTTGCGTCCTGCGCCAACGTCCATTGGTCGCAGTCGACGAGGCGGGTAAATGCTTCGAGGGACAGCGACGGATCCGACGGGTCCGCGGGGGCGGCGGGGGGTGCCACGGGGGATGTAGCACCTCCCCGTAGCCGGACCTTGGACGGATGGAAGAACCAGACGGCGCCGGTTTCGCCATCCGTTTCCACCCACAGCCGTCCGTCCGCGACCCCCACGACCGTGCCGTTGCCTCGCGGGGTCTTTACTTTGTCTTTGGCTTTGAACCCCACGGGTACGCATGCCCCGTCCGACACGTCAAAGAGCAGCTCGTACCCGGCGCGGGTCATCACCCGACAGCGGGTTTCCCGCCACCACGTCACATACCCGTCGTATGCGGCTTGGAGGAGCCGTCGCGGCAGCTTTGTAGACTGCGTCATGGCCTCCATCACAGCGCAACAGTCCAAATACTCGTCCACAGTTGATTCCGTGGGCGATCCGTGCAGCTTAAGCCCCACTTTGCAGTTGAACCCGGACGGGACCAACGATAGCTTTTGGTGCCGCGTGTAAAACGCTATCGCAGGATACAGCTCCCCCACAACGTTGTCGAACGCTACACCGAGTGACACGCCGTTCTTGGAGTAGCTCAGCGTGCCGAGGTCGCAATCCAAGTCCATCCCCAGCACATCCCCTTCCCCGAACGGCTCGCCGTACGTTTTCACCCGATTGCGCTGGTAATACAATGCTCCGTCCCCGATGAACCCCCAGCTGTGCTCGTCCGCCCCTAGAAACGACTCGAGGTTCGCGCGGCGGGATGCTACCCCCACAAACAAGTAGGCGCTGGTTGACTTGTCCACTTTAACTTGCCATGCATGCCGCCCCACGACAAAGCACTCGGTCCCCAGTACCTACGTACGTACAGTTTATATATATATATATATATATTGTACGTCAAATGTCGACCATTTTGGCATATATCAATGTGTTTTGGTGATTTCTATTATTATCGACACTGAACTGAGTTGAGTCGCACAGGGATGATGGCCAGCATGTTAGTTTTACTTCGATTTGAAAGGAGTGGGGTAGACAATCGACCGACCAATCAAAACACAGAACGCTTTCAAGTGGCCAATAAAATCCTCGCCAAATCGAGTGTGACGTATGTGACACGGGGCAATCAATTTGTACATTCAAACTTCGAGTCCAAACAATCGACGTCGTTGATGGATTTGGTGAAATACATACATATCCCATTTCATTGGCGAAATAATGCACAATAGTACACGCAATCCGTTTCGTGTATGTCTTGGGTTCACTTTAATGTGTATGTACGTATACTAAATCTTCACTTGAAAAGGGTCAATATAATTATAGGGAAAACAACCATCAGGAATATCATAGTACCATCCTCCACGCCTCGTTGCCGTTGAAGCTGACGCTGAGCCCGTCGTCAGAAAACACAAGGGACCCGCTGCGGCACTTCTTCTTGTCCCACACAAACGGACTCGTACGTACATAGTCGGACGTGGGGTCAGCTTTTGTCGTGAATGACGCCGACGTCTTATATTTCATATCAACACTACCGCCGCCGTCAGAAGCACCAGCATGCGCCTCACCAGCCTCGCCCCCTCGAAGGGTGTATGTGAATGTTGTGCGGGGCATGAGATTGGACAAGGTGATCTGGTGGCCGACGCCACTGTAGACGACGCGGGGGGATGAGCCCCCCCCGTTCGGGACGTTTTCTTCGAGGACGTATACGGGACGTGATTGGTCGGAATGGACAACGGGGCTTGGCCAGGCCAGGGTGAGAGACGTCTCGGACGCCCGCACGAGCTGAAGTCCCCACGACGGCCCAGTGGGAGTCTCGTCCTGGAGGGGGGGTGGCGGCAACGCACGGATCAATTCCAACAGACCTTGCAAGTACGGTGAATAGTAAAACCGATTCTGGGACCTTTCACGAAGTTGCCGTCGCCGCGCGATTACAAGCAGCAAGTTGCGGTCCAGCCCAGCAAAGTCCTTATCCGATTGTTCGTTTTGAGTGGCTAATGGACAATCGGGATGACTGACGAGGAGTAGTGGCGTGGGTGGGGGTAGGGAGGGGGGGTCGGAGTGCCTGAGTAGTCTAGTGACTGCGTCCACTACCACGAGTTTCAACGCCACGTTCGAGTGTCCTAAGCAAGGCACAAGTGGGCGGATCAACAAGGCCACCGATGACGACGCCGCCGCTTTGGCCAAACTACTAGTACTACTAGTAGTACTGGCCAGATACGTGCGCAGTCGATCTGGTTTGGCAAAGAACGTTTGGACCAACCACACGACAAACTCGACAGACGGATCCGACAGCGCGGACAAGTCCCCCGTCGACACATCTCGCTGGGTCCACAGCACGCCTTCGTACTTTGGAGCGCAACCTTGTCGCAGTTCCGACACTATGGTAGCCCACACCAGTCCCCCCATGCGACCAATGTTGTCCGTGAGCGCTGCGTCCACGACGGACGCCAGTACCACCTCCAGGGGCGTCGTCATGTCCTCGCTGGCGGGAGGTCCTCTGAACAGTACCGCTTTCGCATACTGTAGCAACAACCTCTCGGTGGTTTCGTCCAGCTTGTTCGCTTGATGGTGCATCCCGGCAAAGTACAGCGCCAGGCCTTGCCGAGCGTACTTGATCTGCAGCGACTGTTCTACGGACGTAGCCAACGCACGTAGGTCCGTCGTATTGGCCAATTCCGCGGCAAACTGTTGCAAATTATCGGCCGACGACGATAACGAAGCGGAAGGAGGGGGGCAAGTTGTTGTTGTTGATGTGCACCCCGGCGGGGTTGGTTGATTGCCGAGGCGAAGGGACAGAAACAGCGATGGCATGTTGGAGAGGAACCCCCCTTCTTCGAATGGAAAGTACATTTCCCCAAACACTTTGCGCCCCGTTTCCTTGATGTCTGCTGCGTCTACAATCGTAAGGCACGGCACGATACGATCTGGTATGTCACGACAAAACGCTGCACAACAAGAAGACGACGACTCGACTGCCGACGACGACGAAGACGATGGCGGCGGCGGCGATGACGGTGTCGCATGGTACCCCACGTCGTCGTCGTCGTCCTCTTCATCGTTGAACACTATTTGTTTCGAATTGTCCTCCTTGTCCTTGGCCGCCTGCAACGTGTTCAAGTACTCCAAATTGTCCACAATCCACGCCGATGCACTCAACATGTCGTTGTCTGTTTGTTTCAGGGCCAGGACACACCAGTCTTCTGGGAACCCCATCAGACTCAGCTCTTCCACAAACTCGGACCTTGCTTCTTCTTCTTCGTCGTCATCGTCGTCATCGTCGTCGTCACCGCCATCTTCGTCGTCGTCATCCCCATTGTCACCATCATAATCTTGTCCTTGGCAGTCGTCCCCAATGTCGCTCGGCGGCAGCGCGTCTTGCCGCAAGAATGCTGCTGCTGCTACTTTCAAGTGACTGCTTGGCTCGTCGCCGGGTTTAAAGTGGGGAGTCGCTGGAATTCCCCCCAAGTCGTCGGCGTTGTCGCCGCTCCTATCGATGGACGCATCCGACAACCGTTGGCGCACCATGGCCACCTTCAATTCCATGTCTGCCACTGAACAATACACGGTCGACTTGTCCGATTGAGTCGCGAGCGCCAACAGTCGCGGCAACAGCTCCGGGTGCTGCCACGTCATCCGTTCGTTTGACAAATTGGCGGCGCTTCGAAGGCCGTGGACCAGGGCTTTCAACGCGCTGCTTTGGACGATCAACGCCGTCGTCGTGGCAGCCGACGACGACAACCAGGACATCCTGGACGAATCACTATTCCCGTCGTCATTTGACCCGTAGTTTTGCAGCAGCGCCATCGTCGTGGCTACCAACAACGACCACGACAATGCCGGCACTGGCGGGTACTCGCGCCACGACACGACCAGCTCGTCCGTGTTGACTCGAACGGGCTTGCCGAACTCGTTTTTGTCGGCGGCGCTTCCATGCACAACCTCGACCCACTCCTCGTACGACGGGCACGCCGCCGCCGCCGCCTTGTCTGCCTTGTGCAGCACCAGCTGTGCAAACGGCGCATGATACGAGACGACTGTACCTACCTCCTTGCCTTGGCTCAATTCAACGACCGCGCCCACACGCAGCGGTTCGATACCGCCGCCGAGGACGAATAAGCTGCCCACCGCAGTCGCCACGTCAGTAGTTGTGGCTCCAGAAGTACGTTGGCAAGTGATTGCTGCGTCGAGTCCGCTCTCCAGGGCAGCTTGGACCGACACTGTCCACTTTGGAACGCTAGCTAAGTGCATCACGACGTGGCTAAGTTCCAAGGCGAGGTGTATTTTTTGGTGGGAAGGGTCCGTCGACGCGAGCACCGCATGCCCGATGCATTGCATCCAGTACGGAATCAGCGGCATGTTGGCCCTTTGGGTCCCCTTAAATAGATGAGGTATGCTACTCGGGTCTACATATGGAAGCAGCCGCTTGAGAAGACGAAGGGTGAGCTGTTGAATGCGAAACGACGTGGTGTCGACCAGCGAAAAGCACAGCGCAAGCCACTTGGACGAAGTCAGCTCGGCGATCCCCTCGCTAGAATGCGCAAGAAGCAGGCTCACAATCCCGAGCTGGTAGCAACATCGGTCCATCAAGGCGTTAGGGGGACCGAGGGCGGCGTCGGCAGCCACGTCCATCGGACTCCGCGCGTTTTCATCCACATGCACTTGAGCGAGCCACCCGTCAAAGCCAGTGAACGGCCAGGTCGTGTCCAGTTGGACTGGGGGCTTGCCCATAGTCAGCTTGGCAGGGGTCGAAGCCCCCACAAGGTGCAGCGACGAGATAGCTTTGGCGCACACGATCTCGCCGTGCACAAACAAGTGGAGGGTGGCCGCATCGTATACCAGGGCAATGTTTAGCCACTGGTGGCACACCACGACGTGTTGGAGACTTTCCTGAAACGAATGTTGCCGCAACCCGACTTCCAACACCACGTCCGTGCTTCGGGTAGTACTAGTACTACTTGCGCCTTCGCCAAGGCTGCAGTACGGAACCCACTCCTTTGCATGACTGCTCACACTCATGACCATGCAGCGCGTCCCTGCATCCGGCGCCTTTGTCACATATAGCCAGAACCGCACTGTAAACGTCGACGCCAGCGATACAGTGACAGACGAGCTCTGATCTGACGCTGCAAACGATCGCGTAGTGCCCAGTACCACGGACGAAGTAGTAGCGCCATTGTCTGTATTTGGCCGAGGTCCATTGTTTTCATGGATAATGGCGTTGGCGCTCCAGGATAACGCAGCGTACAACGCGTCCATGACGTGGCGCCACCGGGGCTCGCGGGGGATCAAGAGCGTCATGCGATCCTCAGGACTCGTGTGCTGAGCGCTTCCGCTGGCCACGACGTATCGGAACGCCGCCCACGTCGCCCCTCGCACTGCCACGTCATCTCCATCCTTGATCGACAGTTGCTGCAGCACCGCCGCAATATCCACGTCGTCGATGAAAGCGTACATGTCTGGCTCGATCACAAAGCCCCAGCACTGCAAAGCCGCCAGCATCCGAGGCCCGCCATGGGTCGTGGCTACCATGGAGGCCACGGTCGAAAACACCGAGGCACATGCAGCGAGCACGCGGCCGCCGTAGAAACCGCCGACGCCGTCCAACCCGGTCAATAGTCGTCCCCCCAATCCGATCCTCAACACTCGCCCCAGTCGGTTCAGGACTGGCGTGTGCATTGAAGACATGTGCGGTGTAAACGTCATGAGGTCTCCAAACGTGTGCAGACCCCGCGCCCGAGAGCTCGCGCGGCGACACCGTCGGACGAGTTCCCGCCGGAGGTCGTCGACGTCTGCGACATTGTTCACGTCCGTATCTAGCACAAATGTCACGATCTGTCGGAGCAGGTGATGATGCGACAGCGTTCCGTCGTGCTGAGTGAGAAGTCGCCGCCACCGCACTGTGATGTGCACGAGCATGCGCACACGTTTCCATTTCGAGTGTGGAAAGCGAGCGAGAAACGGAGAAGTCTCGGGGGGTGGCTTATGTACATGGAGCGAGTTCTCTTGACGCTGCTTGGACGTATGTGATGGCGGGGGCAGCGGGTCGGACGGCACTGCCACGCCAGTAAACTCGTCGTCGGCTTCGTTGTTGCCACCAGTCGATCGGTTTGTAGACGGGACCACAACGATGTCCAGCAAAAACGCGCATCGTCGCAGCACGTGTTGCCGAAACAACGACGTGCGATCTACCCCGGATGTGACACTGCTGCTGTCATCACCTTGTTGATTCTGCCACGAGTTTTTTAACTGCGACAACGTCCGGGTGCATTCCGCCACCAACCCCCACGGCGCGGCCAATACATGTGGGGGGGCGTGTCGTGTGGTGGCGGCGGCTGTGGTGGTTATAGCCGTCGCCGACCACAGCGCCGCATCTCTGTCGCAGTTGGAGTGCTTGATGAGCACTCTGTACACTGCATGTTCGATCTCGTCAAAGGCTCGGCGCGACGTTTTCAGCACAAATCGGTACGAGGCGTCGCGGGCGGCATGCGTTGAGCGCACCCAGTCACACAAGGCGACAAATTCTGCGTCCATCAATATATGGGATACAGTGGCGTTAGGTGGAAGGGGGAGACGACCCGACCCCTCGACTGAACAATCGTGGGGCACGATCCGGCAAGGCGTGAGGGTGCTTGGTTCGAGTCCCCCTCGCAGGAGATGGCGCCACTTGAACAGCACTGTTGTGGTGGATGATGACGGCAATACAGCCGGGTACTCGTGCAATGGTTCGCCTAGGACCAGCGTGGCTGCCATGTCGGCGGCAAGTTGGACGAGAAGTCGTTCCAGTGTCACACACCACGGCATCGCAGGGTCTGCCGCCGCCGTGGTGTTGATTCCAAGCAGATCCAAGTTGGCCTGGATCGCCGCTGGAATGTACGAGTTGAGACCATCAACGAGGCGCAACACTTGCGTCACACTTGGCAGCAACTTGCTTGCAAACGGGACCAAGTGGGCAAACAGCAGCAGCGTGGTGACCACCGACGGCACGATCGACCCCACAACAGACGTCTCCAGGGCAGCCAGTCGTTCGTCCAAGCGCATGGCGTCCGTTGGGAGCGGGGCGGTCGCGTGGAGGTTGTCGGTTGCGTGTTGAAATACCATCGTCGCATATTCAAGAAACCACCGCCACGACAGTGGCAGGTCGACTTGTGGGGCTGCCACGTCATACAGACCTGGGTCGTCTGGGGACATACGGGGGTGCTGCGTGTCCCCTGCCCAGCTCGCCAGTTGCTTTTGCATGGCATTCAGCAACACAACGTACGGCCGCAGTCCGTCATTGGTCGAGGGGGGGAGGGGCCCCCCTTTGAGGACCAGCCAATCGTCGGTCGTCCCCGCGACTCGTTCGAGCAGCATCGACAGCAAACGCTTGATCGCGTTGTTATTGCTTGGCAAGTTTTTAAACAACTGCCCCAGCAACGCATCGTCGGCCATCCGTCGGAGGATGGGTTCAACGAGTGTTTTACGGGGCTTGGGGACTGCCACGTCATGGGTGTGGCAAGAGGGGCACGGAACTACCGACGGGGCCGATTCGACTACTTTTAACATGGACACAACCAGGTGGATTTGGCTCGACGGACACGGATAAAACAGCTCCAGACCCAACAACATGGCCTCCATGGCTTCGCGCTCAATGGCCTTCCGCACGGAGTTCTGGTTGTCTGTTTGAGTAAGCCACGACGGTTCATTGATCCACTGCACCAACACCCCATGCAGTCGTTTCAGGGGGGCGTCGAGGGGATGTGGGGACGACGTCGACCCCGTGTCACTTACTGCGATTCTAGCGCCAGCGCCGCTTTTGAGCAGCTGAGCCAGGTTGGCTTGTACAAGTCGAAGCGCCGCCAGTACTACATACACGTGGCTGTCATGGAGGGCGTTCGCAGCAGCAGTAGAAGGAGGAGACGATGGCGATGACGATATAATAGGAGGACTAATAAAGTGTTGGAGGATGTAGTTGAGCGCGTCAAACGTGGCTGCTTGCATGTCTACACAGTATGGGTGGTACCCCCCCCTGGTCATTGCGTGGGGGTCCCTGATCTTTTTGGACTTGTCTTGTCTTAACGCGGGATAGCTCCCTTTCCTAGGAATATACGGCTGGCAGAGGCGATCCAAGTGAGCTAATACACACACGGCGGCATCGACTTGGCTGGTTAATTGTAGCACCGCCAAGGACGTAGAAGATGGAGACATTGGGGGAAGGTCGCCGCAGTCGTCGTCTTCGTCGTCGACAGTCGGGTCCAACGATAAGCTCTTCCTTTGCATGCCCCGACTCTTGTTCTTTGCGAGCTCGTCCAGCATGGCCTGCGACGACGTCCATACATAGTCGTCCTCACAGCAAGTACTCGCCGTGTCGGCCACGATTGCATCGGAGTGTGACGGTAACAGCTCCGGCACACAAGTCCCCTCGTCCTCTATATCTTTGCCTCCAGTCAAGATGACCGTGTGGTAAAACCCTGCCGCGACCACGGCTACCCGTTTGCCCACAAACGTATCGACGGCGCACGGAATCAGTCGCTCCGTCGTGTCCCCGGTCCCCAGTTGTCCGTGGTTATTCCGCCCAAACACGTACAACATACCGCTCTCGGCCACAGCCACCGTGTGGTAGCATCCACATGCGATCCGCACCACTTCCTTGCCTTCGAGATCGGTTAGCAACGTAGGGGTGGCAATGCGCTGGTTCACATGCACGCCGGCGTCGCCTATGCCTAGCTGGCCATAATCGTTCCGCCCAAAGCCAAACACCCTTCCCCGTCGACACAGCACGATCGTGTGGTAATATCCACATCGAACGTCCACCACCGTTTCGTTGTCCAACCTGCCCGAGCCTATGGCTACCGGCACCAGCTGGTTTTCCAGTCCGTCGAGGCCCAATTGCCCATAATCGTTCTTCCCACACACAAGCACTTTGTTGTCGGCCGTGGCCACGGCGCTGTGATACTGTCCACACGCCAACGCAAGTAGAGGGATGTTGGAGAGAGCGTCCACCAGAGTGGGCACCCGTCGATCCAGCGTATCGTTGAGTCCGAGCTGGCCATAGTCGTTGCGGCCAAACGAGTACACGTCTGCGACAGAGCCGCCACTGGACATCGTCGCAGCACAGCTCAACATGGTGTGGTAGTAGCTGCACGACACTAGCGTAACTCGGCGGGCATCGAGACCCCGAATCCGCTTGGGCAAACTCTCACTGGTAGTTGTGCCGTGCCCCAACTGGCCTCTGTAATTGTAGCCAAAGCTAGCCACGCTGCCATCGTGGGCCACCACGACAGTGTGCTCGCACCCGTTGTACGCATGTATTTGGCTCACATTCCGTTCAAATGACGCGTCTGGCCACTTGGTCAGCTCCGTCATGGCTGGCAGGCGGGTGGTCACTCCGTGGCCACACTGGCCGTTGTCGTTATACCCGCACGTGTACACAGAGCCATCGGCGGAGACGGCGATCGTGTGTTCGTTGCCGGCGCAAACGTGTACAATCCCCTTGCCTTGGAGTGCTTCTACCCGATCAAATGATTTCCGGGGGGCCGTGTCCCCATGAGACAGCTCTCCGTACGAATTCTGGCCACAACTCCACACTTCTCGTTCATCTTCGTCGGCATCGTCGTCGTCGTCGTCGTTGCCATTGTCGTGATTACCAGCTACGGTATGATTCCTATCGTGTTTGCCACGGCATGATACTACGTCCGGGACGATGGTTGAGAGCGCCGCGACCACTGGACGAATGTCCACAGCGGCAAAAAGGCGCGATGTCGTCGAGGGGTGCCGCGGGGGGATGGACGCCTTGGGGCTGTCGCAGTTGTTCTTGTTGGGCGCGAACGGGTGGACAAGAGAAGGATGATGGAGAGGGGGGGGGGACGAGGGCGTCGAAGTCGCTGCAGTGACCGATGAAGGGGGAGGTTTGGGCTTCTTTTTCAAGACCACGACCACGTCTTCGCCGGAATCCCCTCGGTTTAAGAGCACCGAGCCAGGTGTTGGCTTGACAATCCCCGCAGCAGCAACGGACGATGGTGGCTTTGCCACGTAATGTCGAGGGGCAGACGGTTTCACGACGGCGTCGCTGCTGTCTGTCGTGTCCAAGCAAGTGTCTGGACCGTTGATAGTACTCGTCGTGGGTGCCCCAAGCAACACTTGGACGGCTTGCAGCAAAGCGCTCACTGCGCCACGAGCTACAGCCAGACGAAGCAGCGCGTTCATGGCGATGTCCCCCCCCCCGTTGCTGTCGTCGTTGCTGACACAGGCGTCGAGTAGAAATTGTTGCAACGTGTCGACCACGTCGGGGGGCGTGGGTTGTGTACCTTTGGCAGCACTTTGGGGTGAAATCAAAGTTGTGGGGGTCAGCGATAGCGGAGCAAGTTGCTGTAGAAGCGGCACAAGGTCCATGAGGAATTCTTGGCGAACGTCGGCTTTGTCGGCGTCAGGTGTCGCCAACATGGCGTGAATGAGGTGAAGGAATACGTGGACGCCCAACGAGGCTTCGTGCGATGACGGCGACGACGGGGCCGCTTTGTCGCCTGTTTGTGTGGCCGTTGCTGCACAACTCGCTGGCAAACTACGTCGGGCGATCATGGCGTCGTGCATACCGCTCAAGATGAAGAGTTGCAGGTTGACTTTGTTTGCAAACGGGTCGACCACTTCACAATGACGCACCAATGAGTCCCGGAGGCGAGTGATGGAGTACCTCGCCAAACTCGGCGAGTCATGGTCAACCAGCGCCATGATGGTTTCTGCCAGCAAGGACGCGTCTTCGTCGCTGTCGTCGTCACTAGAGCCTGGTATTAATGGCCCCTGTGTGGCGGTGGATGGTCGCAACGGGTCTTGAAAGTCAGACGTTTGAAGAAGTAGACGGCGTTGAGAAGCTGCCGACGTGGCCGGGTATGACGTGAGAAAACCTGTCCGTCGTGCTTGCTTTGACAGGAACGCATCGTCGAAGAGCTGCTCCATTGCGATGCGACCCCATCGCACGTCCAGGCGACGAGCGGATGATGGCAGCGGCGACACACCCCGTCCACATGGCATTAAAGACGAGGATGTGCCAGCCTTGTCCACGACCACCTCCTTGCTATGCCCTGCACCCATCCACGACGACGAAGCGAAGATCCAATGCACGCTCTTCCAAACGGCGGTTCCGGATATCCACTTGAAACCGACCGAAACTGATTTCGACAAGCATCCGGATAATCATCACTCACAGTCCGACAATGGACAACCGGTACAACAAACCAAACTTATCCTTCGTAGTTAATCAACTTGGTTACTCGTTTCTCGCCTCATGTACAATTGCAGGCCCTCTGCCATAACCGATAATGTAGTTGGTATGCATTCCGGTAGTTACCTATAAATTCTATAACCCCTTAACCCCTCCTCTTACGTACGGATCTAGGGCAGTTCGAACTTATCATCTCAACCAAACCTGGGGATGCAATTGGCCAACCTCTTTGAAATAGTATTAAGTATTGGAGGGGATCTCCCCCTCGTCAGATTTCAATTGCATTAGAAGAAGCGCAGAAGGACTCAAATCATGGCGTCGAGGTATGTGGCCGTCGTCGCCGCAGTCCGTCGCTTCAGGAATCACGTGTATATAGCTCATGGGTGATCATATGTGTAGATATGATCGTGCGATTACCGTGTTTTCCCCGGATGGGCACTTGTTCCAGGTCGAATATGCCATGGAAGCCGTGAAGCGCGGGGCTGTCGTTGTGGGTGTCCGCGGCGTGGACGTCGTCGTCCTGGCCGTGGAACGTAAGGAAACCGCCAAGCTCCAAGATCCACGTACGGTGCGCAAGATTTGCAAGGTGGACGACCACATCACTTTGGCATTTGCCGGTTTGACTGCCGATGCCCGTGTGCTCGTGAACAAAGCGCGTTTGGAATGCCAAAGTTACCGCTTGACCGTGGAAGACGCGCCGTCGGTCGAATATGTCGCGCGGTATGTAGCCAAGGTGCAACAGCGCTACACACAGCGAGGCGGGGTGCGCCCGTTTGGTATTTCCATGCTCATCGCAGGCTGCGACACCAAGGGCGTGCCGCAGCTGTACCAGACTGATCCATCGGGCACGTTCACGGCGTGGAAGGCAAACGCGACGGGACGCAACGAGAAATCCACGCGGGAGTTCTTGGAAAAGAACTACGTGCAGGACATGGACGAAGACGCGGCGGTGCGGTTGGCCGTGAAAGCCCTGTTGGAAGTCGTCGAAGCCGGCAGCAAGAATATTGAAGTGGCTGTCGTTCGCCGCGGTGGTATCTCGTCGGTAGGTCATTCCTAACACATGTTGCATGCAGATTGGGAGCCTGACATCACATGTGGTTTGCGATAGGCGGTGCCCGATGCGACCGTCGAATCCGTCTGCGCCTCGATCGAGAAAGAGAAGGAAGATGCCCGCGCCGGCGCCGAAGCCAAGGCGGCAGCGTCGTCCTCGTCATAAAGCACCATGAAGAAGATTACATCTACGGGAGATGTCGTGTGCGTAGTAAAACAACACGATTCCGACTTCCATCCTGATCGCCGCCGCGGATGTGAATTGTTGGATTGATTTTAAATGTTTTGTTTACCGGATACGATATTATCCGGATATAGATAATCCAATAAGCTTGATGCATGTCATTATAACAGACGTCTCAAACGAGTTTAAAACACGTTTGATATTGTGTATCTTCGCGAGTCCCAAGTCAGCAAGGCGCAAGAATCATGGCACGACGGTCCTGACGGCAGCTCATTCAATCAACCCCAACGCAAGATCCGAAGAAGACGGTGACCAAGATAGTCACGTGGACGACGACCGCCTCCATGAACCACCTCCATGACCACTGCCGGCCCTGATTGTCGGCCCCGTCCAAGACCAAACGCACGTTATCTTTGGCATGATCACTCGACCATGGCACCGTCGTCGTTCGGACGGTACGAGGAATCGCTGTCGCCACTCGTATCCGCCGCCAAGTACACGCTCCTTGGTCTCATCTGCATCCCAAGCCTTTGCCATTCGTCTGTTCTTGGTCGCACGATACAACGGCGTAATCCACGAAATCAACCCATACTTCAACTTCCGAGCCAACAAAGTCCTCGACTGGTTTGACGATCGATCGTGGTACCCGCTGGGTCGCGCCGTGTGTGGCACCATCTACCCCTGGCTCATGTCGACGGTGTCCCTGTTGCACTGGACGCTCAACGTCGTGTTTCGCCTTCCCACCATCCTCCGGAACACATGCGTGCTTATCGCGCCAATCTTCGGCGTGGGGACCATCGTGGCCACGTACCTCTTGACCAAGGACGTGACTTGCCGCGCTTCCATGGCACTCGTCGCCGCCGCGATGGTGGCCGTCGTGCCCGCCGACACGTCTCGGTCCGTGGGCGGCTCGTAAATTTATGAAGTCATGTCCACCTTTGCGCTCGTCATAACATTCTACATGTGGGTCCAAGCTGTGCGCGTTGGCTCTATGCGCTCATGCGGCAACTTGTGCGCTGATGTACGGGGCCTTGGTCGCGGCGGGGATATCATTCGAGAACATGTTGATCATCAATGTGATTCCGCTGTTCGTGGCCATGATGGTGGTCGCGGGGCGGTACTCGCCGCGGCTGTACATTGCATCAAGGCCATTGAAAATACTATTTTTTACTTATTTGTGCTCGAAGAGAAAACAAGATCATTCAAATTCACAAGGACTTATGGACTGAGTTATTTATTTGTGCCTCCTGCCCTGTTGAATTATTTATTCCCCCCTGCGCCCGGAGCGAATGAATTATTTGAATAATTCAAACAATTTTAAAAAAACTATTCAATGGGTACTATATGCTGTTATCGGAATGAAATGAACTTGCTTTAGCTCGTTGCTATATAGTACTGTACTAGCATTACGTAGAACTTCGAAGCACCTTGCACGATTTTCTGCATAGTTCACATTTGATCCCAACAATTAGTTTAGTCACAACGGTGGTTGCCAACGGCCTGAGAAGAATCGCGCATACATTCTTGACGTTGGGGCAATAAAGCGGCAATGAAGGAATAAGCTCGGCAAAAGCCATACCACGGAGGGCGTTCAATGCTGCCGACATCAAAGGCAATACTATGTATTAATGCGAGGCACTTCCAAAATTCGCGCGGTTTGTCTAATCAATATTGAACCACGCTGGATTTCTGATTGGTTGAATATACTTGTCCTTTCTGTAAGAGCCAATCAAATCCACTCAAAATTGGGTTAGCCAAAAGCGTCGATTCGTGATTCGATTCGGCGGCGACATTCGATTCGACGGGGTCTGTACAATACGTACATGTACATGCAGTTAACTTTTGCCGTTCAATACTTAGGGCCAATCGGAGCTTTTCATCCTAACAATTGGTCCAATAAGATCATTGAAAACGCCTACGAATAAATTGGTCGAAATGAATCATTTATTTTATGGCTTCAAAAACCTGAACAATTTATTTACATACGGAACAATTATAGATTATTTACTCAAGGACTGAATAACAAAGAATAATTTATTTTATTTAAATTATTGAATAGTATTCTTTTTAGATTATTTTTTGTTGGGCCTTGGTCGAAACCACAGAATTTAAACTCTGCGATTTGATTGGTGTATTTGCACCAATCAAACCCGACCCAGACCTGAAACCGCCGTTTCTGCTTGGTCATAGTCAATGTGAATAATGTGAACGGGGTCGTATGCTGCTTGATGCACCGGCATGTACTGGTTGGCATACTGAAGCTATGGACCTGAGAGGGCAGTGATAAGTTCTCTAAGTGACTACCCGGTAGACACAACAATTCATGACAACAATCATGCCAAGCCTAGAGTTTCGACTGCATGTGCCTCGTTGGTTCGGCGAGAGGTACCCCGTCATTGGACTATGTCGTCACCATCCCCTTCAACCTCTAGCCCTCGAGTTTGCAGTCTCCGTCGAGGCCATACAGCAGCACCGCCGTCTTCTCGATGTTATCCTTTCGCCTTCGAGACCACCCGCACACATCACTTGTAGCATGACTTCAGCTCTGCCATGCCCATCGTTAACGAGTACCACACATCTCGACGCCAAGATGTGTGTCTGCAGTGGCACGACATACAGTATCGTTCCCAACCGTCGACACAGTGTACCTTGAACACAACATACCACCAGTCTGTATTATGGTACGTTCGTCACCTAGTATACTCCTACTACTGTACTCCTATTCCTACTACTATACTATCTAGTTTGTCTTTTTGTCGTCTTGAGCTCGTCGATGGCGATGGACCCAGGCAAAGTACACACTCGACCCGCCAAACAAGAGCACGAACGCTATCGCCCATCCGACTTTGACCATTGTGGGAAATGGCGCGGTAAACATCCCTTGGCCATGCTTAAGGATCAAGCACACCTCGGTCACGACGACCCCCAGACCGAGCCACGCGCGGGGCCCGAGCTTGCGGGACGGCGCGGCCACCCCCTGCGGCAGGTTGGTCGGAGCTGTGTACGCCATGAACACGTAAAACTCGGCGATCGCGTAGCTGCCGGCGCTGTACCAGATGCCGAGGCGCACGACGTTGAGCGAGTTGGACGCAGGTACCCACAGCACAGTCTTGAGAAAGAACGAATTGAGCATCATCACTGACAAGATCACGACCATAAACATAACCATCCAAAACCGCGAAGCAGATCGAAACATCTTCCAGTCGTACGCGAGCCAATTCGCGGGCGTGAACTGCGCGGCAAAGCGCCGCGCCCGTCCCGACACGGTAGGGATCTTGCGCCACCCGACCCAGTTGTACTTTTTCATCTCAAAGTACCGGCAGATGCGCATGCCGAGCCAAATCCCGGCGGCGTTGCACACGAGCACGTCCAGAATCACTTGGTCCCACCAGCACTCGGCAAAGTTTTTTAGCCAGTGCGCAAAGCTGAGCTCGTAAAACTCAAACAAGATCGAAATGAGCCAGCACACCGTGTAGCTGCGAATCATGAGCGCGCCGACGATCCACCCGAGAAAGTGCATGATCACGAACCGGTCGAAGAACGTCGCCGAGATGTTGGCCATGACGTTAGTCGGGTGCTCGGGGGTGAACAACCGGCAGTCCTCGGCAAACCCTTCTTCCGGCAACTGCACGCCGAGACGCGGGTCGTAGTGCCGCAGAAATTGCCGTGCGTCCGGGGTCTTCAAGAACAACAACACGATCAACAACATCTCGTACAAAATGAAGATGCCTGTGATCAACCGCCAGATCGCAGGATGCGGACGGATGAAATGCCCGTCTCGAAGTTGCAGCACGCAGTACACGAGGAAGAAGATGCAAGCAAACTTGACACCGCTCTTGAGGTCGTCGACTTGGGTCGACGCCGGGTCTTGATGCAGCAGCGCATACAAAAAGTACACGAGCGTGATGAACCCAACCAGGAGCGTGTGCGGCCGTGTCGTCCAGCTGTCGTCGTCGGCAGGAGGTGGGGCCGACGCCGCGTCGAGTTCTCCATATACGGCGGGGTCCGATGTCTTGCCCAGTTGGATTGCTGCGGGCGTCGGTTCCGCTGAAGTGGCCTTCTCGGGCGCCATCATCATCCAGTGGTAATTTGGAATTCACGATTGTGGTCATGGACGTTTCCCTGCTCTGAGTATCCGTATAATCTGTCGCATCAAACGAGACGTTTAAACAGTATATATGATGGGTCGTTTTTAATGCGTTTTATTCTGATACGACACCAAACCAAGTACTGTGAACGCCGATCACAATGGTAGACATGCAGAGCCTGAAGTACATAACTACAGGGTCAGTATATCGTCGCCCATACTAATTACATGGTGAGATTGTCATCGCCCTTGGTACCAAAGATGAGTCCATGCTGTTCATTCTGTACAGTACGTGAATAAAACGTGTTGACGCAATATGGCGCCACATCACATTATCCGGATAATGTAGCCAATCCGAACTCGCGCAGTTCCAACCATGCCCAAACCAATGGCTCATGGGAGTGTGAACGTTGAGATTCGATGCTTCCAGAAACATGCTTCATCATCACTTGCGTTCGACGCAGCGACATGGGAGCTTGAGGAAGGGATGGCACAAACTTGGTACAGGACGACATCCATATCCTTCAACCCTCGAGGGATGTGAGGACTCCTCACAGGTTGCCCATCTTCGAGTTTCTACAGTCTGAGTCAACTGAAATCTACATGCTCGACGACATAATGCCCAGGCCTGACAAGACTTGCTAGGAAAACCTACTGGCTAGGACAGTTGTTCGAGAGGATGTTGGCTCACATAGCACTCTGTAGCTAGAGCTAACTAACGGTAGCTCCACTTCAGCATTTCGTAGCTCAGCATTCCGTAGCTAGGGCGAAGTGGCTACATCGTCATCACAAACGCCCTTCGGCACTCTGTACCGGTAGCTACAGCTAACTAACGTAGCTCCTCTTCAGCATTTCGTAGCTAGAGCTATCTACCGGAAGCTTCTCTTGAGCATATTCCGTAGCCAGCTACTAGTACTCTTGAGCGCTCTGTAGCTAGCATTAGCTAGCTACCCTTTAGCACTTGGTAGCCCCATCATATCGTCCTCCATGACTTTCCCATTCCTCTTGTTGAAGCGTGGTCATAACACACACTACCTCGACCATAGCATTTCCATGTCCAACACTTTGTACATTATACAGTGGACGGCGGCGGCGGCGCGGCGCCGCTGTCCACGGACGGCAAGGGCGGGTAATACCCATACAGTTCTTGTAGCTGCTGGTTCTTTTGATCAATCACCCGCTGCCACTCGCCACTGGACTTGAGGTACTGCTCCAAGTGCACTTCGTTGGAAAACATATCGTCGTCTAGCTGCGCTTGCTTGACGTTCGTGCCAGGCTTGTAGTAGCTCCACCCAAATTGGCCATTTCGATGGAACCATCCCTCCTTTTGGAGTTCCGAGTACACTTTGCTAAACGTGGGCTTGAACTCGGGGGCAGCCGCGGCTACGACCATGGACCTGGACGACACCCGGGTTCCTTTTTTCGGCGGCTTGGGCTTCGCCGCGGGTGGTTTGGGTTTCGGGGCTGGTTTCGGGGCGGCATGGTCGGCGGCGTCGAGCAGCGCCATCGTGTCGTGCTCTTTCTCAAGCAATTCCGTCACACGATACCAAACCGACGACGCCTTGAGGTACGTTTCCAGCTCGTCCGCCGACGCAAACATGGTCTTGCCGTGCTCAGCAGTTGCCACATCCGTGTGAGGTTTGTAGTAGTAGCTGTGCCCGGCTTCCAAATCCTGCCTGTGAAACCATCCCTTGGTCTCCAAATACGCATACACGTCGGCAAAGGTCGGTTGAAATGTCGATTTCTTGAGCCTTTTGCTTGGTTTGTGCTTTTTGGCTTTGGGGGGGGGTGGCAGCGACGGCCGCTTCATCTGCTTGGACGTAGCTGCTGCTGCTGTTGTTTCTGCCTTGACAACATGGTGCGTAGTGGCGGTGGCGGCGGTAGCGCAGAGGCGCTCCCACATGTCTCGCTGCGACGACGTCAAGTACAACTCGACGTCGGTGGCACTTCGAAAGAAATCCGTGCCGAGCACGGGCATCGCCGCGGTCGAGTACGTCGGCTGGCAATACATGTGTCCTATGCTGTCGCTTCGTTCAAACCACCCGTATTCGGCCGTCATCAACGCCGCCAAGATGCGATCCATGACCCCGTTAGACGAGTGAGTATGCTCGGGAGATGGAGGCAACTGTATCTCAGACACGTCGCTGGCGGCGGCGGCAGCGGCGGCCATGGCCCCGCGAGGGGACGATGCAGAGAGACCGCCAAAGTAGGCTTGGACAGCGGCTTGAACCGAGTCGTACTGGCGGCCCAAGCTCTCGACGGTCGTGCCAGCGAGTTGTCGACCCAATTGCGCATGCCGCAAGTACGTCCACACGATTTGATGGATGGCGTCCAGTGGCGCCGCCAGCGCAAAGCGAAGCGCGGCAAGCCTAGACGGAAACCGGGTGCCATCCGAGCTCACGTACGTCACGTAGCTGCCGCCGCTGGGATTCGGCTCGATGGACCAGCCTTCCGAGTCCTGCAGGATCGGCCACGACGCGTACAAGAGCGCTTGGCTTTCCGTGTAATGCGACACTTTTGCTTGCAAGTCGGCGGTGATGGCGGCCAATTCATCGGGCGTTGAAAACTCAAAAGACGTGGAGGCATTCGCGCAGTGCGCGAGCCATTCCATGGCATGCAACGGACACAGCGCGGCGGCAAATCGCGCGGCTTGCTGCATCGCAAGCTGGTACAGGCCTTCACACGAGACGGCGCACGCGTCCAACGTCCACGGGGCCACGGCGGCTTCGTCCAGCGGCAGCACCGCCAGCTGGTTCAGGTCCTGCATCGTATTGAAGCGGGCAAAGTAAAACAGCACGCGGTCGGTGGATGAATCGAAGCCTGGATGCAATAGCTGCAGCATCGTCACGTCCATCCCCCATGCTTTGGCGATGTCGATCGAGTTAAACACAACCACGGGCCACTTGATGCCGTCGCAAAAGCCGTCTGGTGTGAACGCGAGCTGGAGACTCACACCTGGAGGCAGCGACGAATCGAGTGGGATGGAGGAAAGGTCCTGGACGTAGTCGTCCTCGAATGCGATGTGGGTTGTTGCTGGTTGAGATGGTGCCGGCGCGGCGATGGTAGTAGACGGGTGCTCGACGGCGACAGCGGGGAGCGAGGAAGAAGATGGAGGGGATGGTTCCATGACCTTCGACGTCTTTGGGGGGTCGTTCGTGGTCGTGGTCGCTTGGTCGGCTTTGGAAACTGCCGACTTCTTGCCCTTTTTCGTCTTCGACTGTAGTCCACGCAGCCCTTCTTCCATTTTGACGAGGTACTTTCGCACGCTGCTGCTGGTATTGCCCTCCAATTTGATTTTCAACGTCCCTAGGGCGGATTCAATCACGTCCAATGCCGATTGGACCGTGACAGGTGGGGACGACTGAACGGCATGTGCTTGTCGCAACCTGTCTTCGAGCTTGGCCGCATGGGATTTCTTCCCCTTCTTCATGAGGCTTCCGATACTCACTTCGTCGTCTTCGTCCTCATGTGCACGATGATGAGCCGATGACACTCCTTTCGTCGAATGCCGTTCCTTGGACGTCGCCATCGTCGGACTGCCTGGCTACCTGGTATGGGTGGAGAAGTACCAGTTGGTCGATTTCAAAAAACGCAGGGTGATCCGGATAAGATCCGATATCCGGTACTAGTATACCTCAAACTTGGCGCCAATTCAAATTCAAATTTTCTGCAAGCCGCGAAGTCCTGGGCACGACATGACGCTGGAAGAAGCATGAGATGCATGGCACCCATCACCGTAGCTTCACGAAACGTCATGAGCACTCGGTCCCAATGAGTGTGTGAATACTCGGTTGCTTGGAGCAACTTGTTCGTCCAACCCAGGCACAGTACTTGGAGCAACCGAGCATCGGAGCAACTCATGCAGATCGCGTTCAGGCTTCGAACCCACCGGCAAAATGTGTACGTACAGTCAAATCTCCTACGATGATTTAATGACCCTTGAGTTATACGACTAGAAAATGGACGCTTGATGCGAAAGGTGTGGTTCAAGGCAACTTTGCTAAGTGAAACTTCACAAAACATGTACTTTTTGACAAGGTTATTCCAGAAACTGCGTGAACCACGATACTAATTCATCGGCACTGGGGCGGTCCGCGGGGTCAAAGGCCAGGCATCGTTGCGCGATCTCAATCATGGCTTGGGGGCAATTCTTGGAGAACGATGGCCGCAGTTCCCCGGACACGACCATCATGGAAATGCGCGCTTTGGCCATGGCGACGCTGACGCCGGCACTGGGTACGATCATCTTGAGATCGGAATACGGGACGATGCACAGGTCGATCTCGGACATAAGCACGCCGAACGAGTATATGTCTGCCTTTTTCGTGTACCGCACGCCCATGAGCACCTCGGGGGCGATCCACGGTACGGTACCAATCTCGGCCGTCATCGTTTGATCTTCCATAGTCTCTCGGCTCGTGCCAAAGTCTGTAAGCTTGGCCACGCCGCGGTCGCCGCCGAGCAAGACGTTTTTGGCCTTGAGGTCGCGATGGATGATGTTGATGTCCGGTGAGTGGAGGTATTGCAGCGCCTGCGACATGTCCAAGAGCACGGAAAACTTGGAAAACGGCACGTTCGGGTCGTTCAAGCCGGCGTGGAGCAGCGCTTTGTTGGCCGCCGCCGATGCAGTCGTGCTAGACAGCCACGACCGGCCGAAATCCACACGGAACGTTCCCCGCACGTTCCAGTCGACGCGGCGCTGCGTGCGATTCACCTCGAGGAGCGACCACAGGTCTCCGCCTCCCATGTACTCGTTGATCATGGACAAATTCATCAAATTCGTCCACGACATCCCGATAAACGACACGATCTTGGGGTGGTACAGCCGTGCGCTGACCCGGATCTCGTCCATAAACGCTTCGATCGCGTCCACGTTGTGCCCTTTCTCGGGTAGCATTTGCTTCATCGCGACCTGTGTCGGAGGTTTCCCGACCGTCCGCAGCGTCGCAATGTACACGATGCCGTAGCCCCCGCGCGCGACCACGGCGCCGCGCTCGATGTTGGTCGCGGGGATGCGAAACACTGCAAACGACGGGTCGTGCCGGATATCGTGGTGGATGTCGCACTGGTCCGTCGTCGCGGCGTTGTCACTGTCCACAAACTGCTTGTTTCCTTTGGTCATGACTTCGTTGTACCATTGGCACGCTTGGCGCTGTTGGAACTGCCGGTACGCGTAATACGCGCCGAGGATCACGACGACTCCGACCAAGACGCCCCCCACGAGCATAGACGAAGAGGAACCCTCTCCCCCTTGATTTCCATGGCCGCCGCCCCCCTTCCACGGCAGCATCCCGTCGGGGCCAGTGGGGGGGGCGGCGGTCGTGTTCCAAAACTTAGACCGGTTGTACTCGTTCTTCCCCGACTTGAAACTCCGCGGATCGTCCGGCACGATGCAAATGGGAAACGTATTCCACAGCAGCCGGACGCTCGTGTGCCCCGTGCATGTCGAGTTGGTCGCCGTCGTGTCCAATACAATACTGCAGTCCCCGGGGTATACCTCAGCTTCGCCACATGAAGCAGCGGTCGCCTTTTGTGGGTTTTGCAACGACGCGAGAATGTCAAACTGCGACTCGTTGGCGTAAAACGCCGTGATGGGGTTGCCCCCAAGGTACAGGAACCGCAACGTGGACGGGAAATTTGCCTTGAGTTCGTTGATGTGGTTGTTGGCGAGGTTTCTACGATGACACCTCAGAGTTGAGCAAATCAGGGGTAAACGTAATGCGCTTACAACGACGACAGGGCCGGTGGAAACGAAGTGTTGGCAATGGACGCGATGTTATTGTTGGCGAGAATCCTATTACAGTAAACCCCCGCCGCCCCGCTTGTGAAAAGGATATGAAGGTGGAGGACGGTTCTACAGTATGTACGAGATTGTACAAGTCATCGAGCATGGGGGGCCACGAGACCGAGCCAATGGACGACAGGTTGCAGTTGTGGGCGTGCCTATGAACGAGTGGAGTACATGCGATGATGTTTGGAAATGCGATGATGTTTGGAAAGACCATACAATGTCTGTAGGATGGGGGGGAACGTCGCCTTGTGTAGCACGAGGCTCGGGTTGTTGAAGAGGTACCTGCCCTCCATGAGTCAAAACGACTACTATACCGTTCAGTGTACGTACAATTGGCGAAGCGAGTCGGGGAAGACTGTTGTTTTCAACGACGACATGTTGTTGAAACTCAAATCCAAGTACTTGAGACCAGCGGCGGAGAGCGTGTTGAACGACACGACTTTGTTGTGGTGGACGCTCCTACCACACCAGAAAAAACAAAACGTCACCATCTCCAAATGTCCTCGTGGCACCGTACAACGTGGCCAACTGGAGAGGAAATTGCGTGGTGGACAAGTCCTTTATCGAGTTGAATGGCAAGTGCCTAGAGTACCACCCTCATGTGAGCCGTTTATCATTCAAAAGCTCCAGCAAATGTCCTCACAAGCTCGTAGCCTTGGTCGTAGCTTGGAAAGTGTTGGCCAGAGTGTCAATACCCAAGTTGGCCAAGATGCTATGGACGCGTGTATGAATTCATGATGATGATGGCATAGTTCGTACATGATATCTGCCCATGACGGCAAGCTCTCAACATGAGACACGGTGAACCCCGCGGCGCCCTTCAACTTGTGCACGAGGCCGTTTTGAGCTTGGTTTCGGATGTACGCGTCCAGTCCGCCGCGGTAAACCTTACCTGGAGACGGCGTCAACACGCACGCGCGGTCTGAGGTGGGGCTCAGGGGCGGATAGGTGACAGGGTAGGTGAGTTTCACGTCGTCGCAGGTCGCGCTGTACGTCGAGTACGGCCGCGTGAGGTCGGTGCGGGCAGAGGTGCCGATCACGGGCGCCCAGTTCACGTCTGCAAATACCCCCTCGGGGTACTCGATCGGTCGCTGGCCATACGCGGCCATGACACTTGCTTGGTGCTGACAAAAGTACAAATGCTATCGTGAATGGGTGATTGCTTTTCAAAACTAACTACAGTACCGGTGAAATCTCGCCCACTCGTTCCATTGTTACAGGTCATGCAATGCAGGGGAGAAATATCCATCCACATGCTAACTATCCAAGATGATGATTGGCGTGCTAATGCTGCAAGAGATGTGGCCATTATTACATCGTCGTGCTCTGCATAAAGTGTGAACTATGCCTTGCCTTGGAAGCCTCTTCTCATTTGCCATCACTGAAACATTAGAATTATATATAGCAAAATCACTCCTCAAAGAATTATATAACGTTACAGTATAGCAAAATCACTCTAATATTGATTGACAAGCTTGGTTGGCATGCATACATAGCGACCGTGACATGCACTCGTGGTTGTGTACTGTAGGGTGGTCCAGATAGATGGGAGAGGAGCTGCAGACAGTATTGCTCATGGATGGCATATCCCAAGTACTAGGTGGTGTGTAGTCATAGAATGTGTCGCTTCGACACTCCGAGATCCCATGTTCCCTCCCCAATCAAACTAGTTGGTGGCATGTCACTATAGAAAGGGAATTCAGGTCTGATTTAATATAAATGAATTAACAACGTTGTTAAACCCAGGATTTCAAAATACCCAAAGATCGCAAAACAACGTTTCAACCCAATGCCCGAGGACGACCCTACCCTAGGACCACGCTTGCATGATCCGGCAATGCTCGTAGGTACAGTCGCAAGTGTGGCCGTGGCATACTACGCGTCGCCGTTCCTCCACGGACCATGGGAGTTCATTGCGTCATGGGATGACTCGATCAACTTTCTCGACAACACCATGATCCAGCAGCCGCTCTCGATATCTTCCATCGTGTCTATGTTCACCACCGTCAAGATCAACGTATACGAACCCTTGTCGTGGCTGCTCAAGGCGCTAGTTCACAGTGTGTGGGGCATGGATCCGTTCGCGGTGCGCATCGTGACGTTGGTCCTCCACTGGGTCAATTGCTTGGTGTTGTATGCCACGTCGGCGCGGCTGCTGCGACAGTTGGGCCAGCCCCATCCGCTCGGATGCTTCATCGGCACGCTTCTGTACGCCGTGCATCCGATTCACGTCGAAGTCGTGGGGTGGCCGTCCGCCCAGCCATATGCCTTGGCCATGCTGTTCACCCTCCTTTGCTTTTACACGCACCTGCATGCATTGGAATGCACCAGTCCTCATCACCGCCGCTTCTTTTCCATCTTGTCTATGGGTATGCCACGCGATACATCACGTCTATATGCGATATCGTTCCAGCGACGACACCTCCAGCCGTCTTGTAGGGCTGTACGTGTGCAGTGTCATGAGCAAAAGCGCGGCCATCCTCGTTCCGGTTGGCATCGTTGCCACGGATATTGTCCTCTCGACACCACCCCAGCCATGTTCATGGAATCGTCGTGCAACTACCCTAGCGCTTCTTCGATATGCCATCTCCAAAGCTGGATATGGCGTGAGCATGCTAGGTCTGGCATGTATGACGGCGGCAGCAAATGCCGATGGCGCGATGGTCGATACGGACATCCTCCATCTTTCAATGACCCAGCGCTGTGTGAAAGCGGTCGTCGTGCTGCTGTGGCCCGTTCGCAAGTTGCTGTGGCCTACGCCCCTTCGTTACCACTACCAACTGCCGTCGACCTTGCATGCCTCTTGGATCGATAGTCCACTGTGGCTTTTATCGGCCACGGCCACTGCTGGCATCACAACCTGTACGACCTCGTCGTCGTCGTTGTGTTTAGATATAGACTTTGTATTCTACACTCGTCCGAATACTATGTACTACGTAGTACACGTTAGGGTGTATCGTTCGAGCTCGAAGAACCCACTCCGTTGCCGCCCTTGCCGCGTGGACGTTTTACCTTGCCATGCTACTGCCCGTCTCTGGCCTTGTCCAGCATGGCCTGGTGGTGCTAGCAGCAGATCGGTACGTGTATTTCCCAGCTATAGTGGTCGTGCCAGTCGTTGGCCAGCTGTTCACATACATCGACACCATGTGCTACCCATGGAATCGAACGCTGGCCGTGGTCTCGCTGTGCGCCGTCGCACTGTGCCTCGCACATGTGGCGACGCTCCAGCTCGAGTCATGGCGCACGGCTGAAGCAGTGTTCCGACACGGATTAAAGTACGTGTTCAATGTGTACATATTATATTTCCTCAAGCCTGTTATTGTCCTTTTACCCAGAATCGTTTGACTGACTTTTGTGCTAAATCGTCAAATCTATCGATTGTTTGCTATTGTAAGCTTATATAAAAAGGTGTCCTGTGGTGATTTATATCACACTAATTGAAGTTTCACACTAATTTAATACTATTTTGACGGTGATGATGGTTTCGTGCAATCTGATTGGTTCAATTCTTCTGTCGGTGATTCTTGTATACATTTATTCGGTTGTGTCGATTCATTGCTCCAGGTTAGAATAAACACAAATATATGCAAAAATCGTACGATGACACACTCTAATTCGATATTGCATTGGTCGAAAAGTGGATAGTTTGATTGGCTACTTGATTCGTGTTCTGGTTTTTGATTGGTTGATAGATTGTGCGCGCATTTAACTTTTACCCCACTCCAATTACGAATTGACTTTTTTATAATATATAAAAATACACTCGTTCAAGACTAATAAAATGAATTACGCTCCCTATAAACTGAACTGGAGAGATAGGTCCGACCCTACAGATTGGCGGATTTTGGATCAATTGCAAGAGCTTTTACTGGAAACTCGCCCTGCCGAAGCCACGTTATACCTCCAGCAAACCCTTCGATACAGTCCTCGCCATGGTACGTACGTACATATATACTAGTAATCATACTATTCCTAGTATTGAATCATCCTATTGAATCATCTGTATTGGTAGCAAAATATATTATACTTCGAAAAAAAATATATATATAGTCTTGTGCAATCGCTACAAACTTCCAACATTCGTTTGTGGAATCGCGCTGGAATTTCTGATTGGCTGAATATACTTGTACGAGCCAATCGTAGTATACACAAATTGATGAATCAGCCAATAGAAAAGTCGATACGTGATCCCTCGTTTGGAGATTTGGATCGAATAAATTCACTATTTTTGACTCGATATTCCACTAACGGTACTATTCCCATGTACTCGGAGTATGATGCTTCGACGTAATTTCGCACGAGTCGTATTACATTTGTCCGATACCAATATATATTATGGATGTATATATAAACATATATATATGGGTAGGACTCAAAGCCCAGCTCCAGATTGCAAAGTGTCATATGCTCCTCGGTCAGTCCACCGAAGCTTGCGCTATCTACGAATCCCTCCATGAACAATACCCGACATACGCACATGTGCTCAACAACATGGGCATCTGCCACTGGAAGCAAGGAAGGCTGCGGGCCGCCCGCGACTTGTTCGTCCGGGCGGCGGCCAACGGCACCGGCCTCACGCGCGGGGACCAGTCGCCACAGACCAACATCATCCTCGTGGATGCATGGGACCCCAGGACTCCCGTCGTTGCTCGCATCATGTGGTAAAATGATGAAAGCCACCCCACATGACAAGTATTTTGTTTCGTATGCAGTTAAATACTGTGAAAATGACCCTAACCTTCACTACAACCGCACCGCGACATTTGATTGGCTAGTTACCAAAGAATCTACATGGAAAATAGAAATAGTATTTTAGCCAATCAGAGACCAGACATTTTCATAATATCCAATCCCATACGGCGGGTGAGGTAGTACGCGATTCGATTGGGCGGGATCCGAAAATTCGTACAAAAAAATAATTTCATAATTATTGTGCTTCCGAGTGAAATTTCGTGTGGTGGCGTGGTTTCTCGTTGGAATTTAAATCGATTTGATTGGCTACCTCAGAAGAGCTCAACAATATTTGCCAATCAAAACCTTCTCAATGAAATTCAACCAATCAGATCGATTGTGGATCGGTTTGGTTGGCGCGATTCGATTGCACCCCCTCCCCAAATTTGTATCAAATCGACAATAAAAAATAGCATTATTTTTTGATTTCATAACGGGAAAAACGGGACTCGAACCCGCGACCTTTAGCTTGACAAGCTAAAACTCGTAACGAACTGATACCAAATCTACAATAATTGTTTTTTTTTTACTTTGAATTTATTGATTTCCAGATACGATTCAAATAATTTGGAGTTTGGTTGGCGAACGAAGACGACGATATGAATCCTACCCTTGTGTATACTATTACTACAGTACTGTAGGATCTCGTGATTCACGGCCTATGTTTGTGGGTGATATTTCAATTATCAATCCCTGTAAATCTATATGTTATTCCTACGAAAATAGTATTGTTTTGAGATGCAATACAATGTTTAAAGCAATGACGTGGCATCTGCATCAGCCGCTATAGCGCCCCACAAGGTGGGCTGGCGGCACCGCGTCCATGATCGTGGGGTTTTCGGCCAAGTACGATTGGATGGTCGTGGTGCGGTCGCCCAAATACGTGTTTTGGACAAAATCGTCGTAAATATCCTAAAAATATATCCAAATATGGACGAAAAACATGAAAACATGGCCCAAAGCACCTACTTCGCCTAGCTTTTGCACGGCCAGGATACAGTGTCGCAGGTACACCTAAAGCAATCACTTTAGTTAGCAGAAGCATGGTAGTGACTTACGCGGCAAGGCAGGATGCCACTGGAGGCATCGTAGCCCCAAATCGTGTCCAGGCCGTACGTTCTGTACAGCTTGTCAAACGTAGATTGGCCACTACAATGAATGGGTGGTTGAGATGAACTCCCTCATGATACGAACATTGGAGTACGCACGAACGCACCGCTTGGCAATGTAATCCGCGTCGTTCCATCGACAGCACATCAGACCTTTGGACACCCTGCCATATTTGGCTTCGTGGAACTCGACCTCCTCAATCGAAAACTCGTCTTCGCGGTCGTAAAAGTCAGGTAATTGCGACGTTGGGATGTCGAAGGCGCTGACGGCAAACGAGGTACCGGGGCTAACCTCTGCCGACAAACTAGCCATCTCCTACACATGGCACATTCCTGTGAGTGCCGAAGAAGCGTGGAAGCAAATGAATGCCACCAGGGTCTCCTTGATAGCGATGCCACGTTGAAAGAAGATGGACGCCGGATGCGCGAACACGCGGCGGTAGTTATGCACGCGTCCCAGGCGGAAGTTCTTGACGTGGTGGCCGAAGGTTGACCGCGCTGATGTCTCAGACAGCAGCGAGCCGTATCCGATGATCGTCGTCGTCGCCATGATGTTTACAAGTTTTGAGTGCCATCGCAGGGGAACTATTTGATTGGTTTATTTACAGCCAATTAAGACTCGTATATTTAGAATAAAGCGTTCGGATTGGTTTACACTCTCCAATCAAACTGTAGATAATGCTGGAGTTTTGATTGGCGGATTGATTATAAATCGACGATCGAGCTGAATATGGTGTTTGCGCCACCTCCTGCGGCGCTAAGCCGACGTGTGGTCGTTACGGGCCTAGGTGCTGTGACGCCTTTGGGTGTCGGCCTTGAAGCAACATGGAACCGTTTGATCCATGGGGACTGTGGGGTCTCTGCGATCACATCCTTCGACACGCATGGGTTGGAGTGCAAAGTGGGCGGCCAAGTTCCTGACTCGTTCAACGCCCTCGACCACATCAACCCGCGTGAAGCTCGAAGCCAAGACGTGCGGTTCATCTCGTTTGCCATTGCTGCGGCCAACGAAGCCATCCGGGATGCCAATTGGACGCCCACGACGGAGTCACAGAAGGAGCGCGCGGGGGTTGCCATTGGTGCGGGCATCGGGAACCTGCAAGAGATCGTCGACACTGGCTCGCTCATCCAGCAGCAAAAGTTCCGACGCGTGTCGCCCTTCTTCGTGCCTCGCATCCTGATCAACTTGGCGGCAGGACATGTGAGCATGATGCATGGTCTCAAGGTACCGTCCATATACCTCGTACTCATGCCAACGTATCTGTTAAGTTACCGTTCCGCTGTAGGGCCCCAATCATGCATGCACGACGGCATGTGCTACCGGCAGCCACAGCATTGGCGATGCCTACCGGTTCATTCGAAACGGAGGTACATATATCACAGTAGTTTATAACACAGCCCCGTTGTGAATATGGCTGTAGATGCCGACGTGATGGTGGCCGGCGGGTCCGAAGCCAGCTTGAACTCGTTATCCTTTTGTGGGTTTCTTCGAGCCAAAGCGTTGGCGACCAAGGTTATACATGTCTTGCAATACAATATTTATATATGGTGACACGAGTGTAGTTTAACGAGTCGCCGGCTGAAGCATCGCGGCCGTTCGACCAACATCGCGACGGGTTTGTCATGGGCGAAGGCGCGGGTGTGGTCGTGCTCGAGGTATGACTACTACTGTGAACTTACCGGAGGCTAACACAATCAGGATTACGACCACGCCAAAGCACGAGGGGCGAAGATCTATGGCGAAGTCCGCGGCTATGGCCTCAGCGGCGACGCGCACCACTTGACCGCGCCCCACGAATCTGGAGACGGCGCATTTCGGTAGGGCGCTGCTAGTGTTGTAACAGAGGTACTTTAGCACACGATTGATTGTCGTGCTATAGCGCCATGCAAGCCGCGCTTGGCCAATCCGGCCTTGACATTACCGAGATTGACTACATCAACGCCCACGCTACATCCACACCCCTCGGCGACGCTGCGGAAAACCGAGCGATCAAGCGCTTGTTTGGTAAACTACCGCAACACAGAACACTAGACATGACTCATATCTCGTTGTAGGGGACCACGCGTCCAACTTGCGCGTGTCCTCCACCAAGGTATGTATATGTATCTATATATATATATATATATGACAACCGTTATAAGAGTTTATATATATATATGTTTGTGCTAATTCGCCAAAATATCATGTTTAATCAATGTTTTTGTGCTAAAATTTGTCTGTAGAAGTCGTGGAGTTTCGAATCACACGAATTTAGGTCTCACACTAATTCGAGATTGATATGATTTTTCGGCAATGTGATTGGCTGCTCAATATTTCCGTCGATGCTTCTACTGTACCCTTTTGATTGTCGTGGTCGATTCATTCTCCATGTCGCTCCAGTTTAAAATAAACCCAACAATATATAGATATCATATATATATTGTATTATATCGCGAAACCATGGAAAGATGAATATTTTTTTTACATATATTTGTTTGTCATTCTAGGGCGCGGTGGGGCATTTGCTGGGGGCGGCGGGGGCCGTGGAAGCCATCTTTGCACTTAAAGCACTTCACGAGGTAGGATCATATGCTGTGAAATATGTTGCTTTGGACGAATATGCTAATGTTTTTGCCTTTTAAATTGGTATTGAATCATGAAGTTGGTAGAACATTGCGCCGCCGACACTCAACCTGACGAGCCAAACCGCCGAGTTCGACTTGAATTACGTGGCGAACGTCGCGCAGACGGCGCCCATCCGAGCGGTGCTGTCCAATTCATTTGGATTTGGCGGAACCAATTCAAGTTTGTGCTTTGCTACCCTCGATTAACGTCATAACATATACTATGATGTGAGCCAATCATTTTGCTTCATGTTATTAGCCAATCAAACGGCCATGTTCAATTTGTTGCACAATAATAACAACGAAAAATCATCATCCATTCTATGGGTGATTCGTTCGTATGAGAACTGTGGCATCGGAACTCGGTTTACTCCGAGTATTGTCGATTTGATACAAATTTGGGGAGGGGGTGCAATCGAAAACCGATCCACAATCGATCTGATTGGTTGAATTTCATTGAGAAGGTTTTGATTGGCGAATAATTCTGAGCTCATCTGAAGTAGCCAATCAAATCGATTTAAATTCCAACGAGAAACCACGAAATGTCACTCGAAAGCACAATAGTATATAACGTTATGCTATTTTTCGAATGCTGCATACAGTACTACCGGTACAGTACTAGTCGTACAGAGCGAGACACTTTGCAATCGTCATAGTCACTTCAATATGAGCTTCTGATTGGTCAAATACTCGATATTTTAGGCGAGTATGCCACCATGGATAGCCTGTCATGAACATATCTTTGGGTATAAACATCCAAACGTATACACAGCTACAACTCACTCATTAAGCAATCAACCGTTTTAGCCAATCAAATTGCAACCTTCATTCTTTGTAGCCAATCATACCCCTTTGCTCGATTGATGTCATAAGAGGCAAATTTGAGTACTGAAAAGCACAATGGAGTTGTTCTAGGTTATTAAGCTTGTATTAACCTGCAGCCGAGATGCTACTTCTTCACATGGCGGGCATACCAGACCGTGAATCCAATGGCCGACGACAACACGGCTCCAACAGACACACTCACGAGGGTAACGAACTCGCGCGGGTCGCTGCAGAACACGCTCACGAGCAGTACCGCAATGTAAAACAGCTTGGACGTGGCATTTTGCATGGCGTTGATCGAGCCTACACCACCCCCCCATCACATCATATCACACCATATCGCATACTATGTATTCACGAGACAGATATCCCCCCCCCATACAGTATCACATGACGAATCATATCTTTATCCATTGTACCTCGACGGTCAGCTTCGACCCATTCCTGCATGATTTGCGTTTCCCCCAAGTCGCACGACCACAGCCACATGCGCGAGAAGAGCACCGCGACCATCATAATGTAATCGGACACAGAGGACTCGCCATACCAGACACAGGCCACCCACACGGGCACGAGGGTGGCCCAGAAGCACCAGACGCTCCACACGCTCACACGTTCAATCGAGCCAAGACATGCCAACAGCACTGGAAAGAGCAGCGTCCCAAGAAACCCAAAGAGACCGCCGAGGCCCGAACTCAACCCTGCCTCCATCTTAGGTCAATCCAGATGGAATGCAGCATAAATAACAAGCAGAGGATGCACGTACGTACCGAGGAGGGAAAGGGGAACGCCCCGCCACTGCAGATACGCAGAGTTGAGCCCGTCCCCAGTCAGCACGGTCATGTACAACGCACAGAAGGAAAAACTCGCCAGAAATGTGGGGTGGTTAAAGTATTCGGTCCACGACGCAAAGTACTGTGTGAAGTTCAGCGTCGGTTTCTTCTTGAGCTGGTTGGGCTGGTCGTGCAACGCTGGCACAAAGTGGTACGTGTCGACGCGCATGCAGTACTCCAGCGGAGCCGCGAGGAGGTTCCATACCCCAACCACCGCCGCCCCTACATAGTTCATCAACCAATTGTCAATATCTATCGACGACTATTGTATGGTGGTATATAGGGGTCTACAAGCAACAAGGGGGGACGGGCTACGAATAGGGGGACGAGGATGGGGGATGGGGGACCTACCAGTGGCCGCGCGGGTCATGGGGGCGTCGCCCGCAAAGTCCATGATCAACCCAAACGCGACGGGGGATGCCAGTTTGCAGATGAGGTCGATGCGGCGGAGAGAGGCGTTCCAGTCCCCCAGAGGCACGCCCGTCTCCCGAGCCACCACGACCACCCAATCCTGCTGGATCGACAGCGTCTGCGCGTCCGTGTATGCCTGACCTACCGCCCCCGCCACGACTGTCACCCCAAAGAGACCGATCATCGGCCACGACCAGTGCACGCCCGGAGTGGTTCTACAGGCCACCACAGTCAGAAGGATGTGATAGGGTTTTGTGTTTGTGTACGTGGCAGGCTCGGACGACAGCACGTATAAGATGGAGCCGAGGGCGATGGTGCTGGCTATGATACATCCGTTTTCGATCAAGATGGACACGCGCATCACACGCAGACGGTTCGTGTGGTCTATCCACGCCCCCACCACGGGCACTGTCGCCACCCCCACAATGTACACGACCTAGTAGGTACTAGTTCTTAGCTAGTAGTACTAGTACAAGCCAAGTGGAATGTAATCGCATAGGTTGTACCAATGAAAACAAGGCGCTGGGAAGCAACGTGTCGACAAAGATCTCCATGAAAAGCAGCGGAATCGCAAACTGCCACATGCGGTCGCCCTAGCCAAACAATTTATCGCCAATCTGACCAGCAGGATGCCATAGAACTGTATCATGAATGCAATATATATGTATTCGTACCCAAGACGACATAAAGTGACTAGCGTACATGTACACTGGAATACGCGCCGCCGCGTCGGACACGGACGTGGACCTGTGTTGGGTCGTTATAACGAGGAAAAGACATGGTTGTTCGACGTACGGCACGAGGGAGGTCAGCTCGTCGGGCTTTGATTTCGAGCTTGAGTGGCTGCGGCGTCGGCTATCGATGAAAGCGGCGACCCAGATGGCCACGACAGGAACCAACGAAGCGACCGCGACGATCGCCATGGGAATCACATACGCACCTTCGACGGGGCATTTATTGGGATATCCCACACAACCTGATGCATCATACAACCGTCAATAAGGACACAGTTGAAGCGGCGGATGAGTGCCGCACCAGCTCCGACGGCGCAAAGGACAAGGCAACCCGCGCCAACCACCACCGATGCCACCACCGTTCGATCCATGTTGAAGAAAAATAGAAGTTGTCAATAATAATGATGGAAATATATCGATGGCTTTTAATTGAGCCAATCAGCACAACGGATAATCTGACAGCCAATCACAGGCAAGCGTTGAACGTCAATAGGTACAATTCCCTCATAATAGTAGTCCCACTGTTGATTTTCTCAATAACACTGCAATTTGAGTGTTTATATGGGACTTTGTATACTCATACTAGGTCACCTCTTGCGAGGGGTTAAGCGCATCGCAGTAGTTAGCGAGAGCTAACCACTGGTGATGCAGTAAACCCTGGGGATTTCGCATCGTATGTACTCATGGGGGGTAGGACGGAGTCTCAAGTTACGGGCTAAAACGTGTATCCGGGCCCTCATGACACAGTATTTCGGGTCAAAACAACAATGGTACTGCTTTATAACGAGGGAATTCTTCGACGTCGAAGTGTTCAGATGAAGTACTCTGCGCTGTACTCAATTGAGTACGCACATAAATCGCCAGAGAAGGCACTGGAGTTTGGAGCAATAGCCATTCATTTGGAGTCATGTTTTTACCCCCCCCCGCTTGACTGTTTTGCATGTTGAACTGGCCTCAAAGTGAAATACTGCACTGTATACAATAATTCTCGGAATGAAGATGATCTGGTTGGATGGTGGCCAAGCACACTTGTTGTAACGGTCACCGTTACGTTATGACGTGGCGCCACACCAACACGGTTCAGCGAGTGTACACGAATTGTACAGTGTTCATACACTGCTGTACTTACTACTGTTAACACAACATTACACTTGTACACTTGGCGAGCACACACTTGTTGTTTTAACCACACAAATTGGGCTGTCGATGTCACGGCCAACTTGTGACTGGTAATCAAACCTGACGATCCATAGGTTTGAGTCCGTACTGTAAGCTTATGCAACCAAGGCCAGGACAGCCTTGAGGAGTACTTCTTGGCCGGCACCTCCATAGGTCACAATTCACTGCACAAATGCATCTTCATACACTTTGGATCCCCAAACCACTACTATTAAGGAGTACTACTACGTAGTACTAATTAACGTTAGGTACGTCAACAACGAGGTCGTACTACTCGCTCAACAAACTACCTTCCCTCAAGCTCTCAAGATGAAGGACGTCATGATGTATCCTTCTCCAACCATGACGTTCTTGTTAACTGTTAACGATGGCGGCAGTACCACACGGAAAAGCCAGTGGCCGCGACGGTCGTGGCCACCACGGACACGAGAACCAACGTTCGAAACGAGTGAGGGTCGGCGAACACGACGCCTAATAGAAGAAGCGCCACGTAGAAACCCTTGTTGGCCGTGTGCTGCATCGCATTAATCATGCCTCGCTGGTGGGGCTGCACCCACTCTTGCATGATCTGGGTCTCGGCTAAAGTCGTCGTCCAGAGCCAGAACTGTGACGTGGCAATCACGATCATGAGCACGACATTGTCGGCACCCGGCCACCATACGACACACAAAGCGGGGGTCAAGAACGCTGCGTATAGCCACACCGAGGCCACAGCGACCGTTTCAGCATACTCCCATCGCTGCAGCAGCCACGGATACACTACCGACGCCATCACGCCACAGTACGCGCCGCTGCCCATACTCCACCCTGCGTTTTCATTAGACAACAAACGCGAAATCGATAAGACGATGATGAGAAGGAGGAGGCTAAGAACGAACCAACGGTCGCGGCGGACGTGCCGTGCCATAACAGGTACGCCGTGCTGAGTGCGTTCTCTTTGAGAACGGTCAGGTAAAGCAAGCAAAACGATAAGCTGACGAGGGCTGTCGGGTGGTGCAAGTAGAGTTTCCACATAGCAGTTGTGGAAGAACGAGTTTGAGGGGGTTGTGCGTGTCGTTGGCGGTGGGTTTTCTTGTTGCCGAGCGACGGGCAGAGGTCGTACAGGTCGTGGCCTGTGGCCAACACGAGCGGCGCGAGCAGGAGGTTCCACCCTGCGACACTGGCCACGAGCACAAACACTTGACCTGTATATGAGATGACGTTTTGCAGCACATCCATTTGGAAGGCAAACGCCATGGGCGACAGAATTCGAGTTGCCATGTCGATGCGAAGTAGCGCAGTGTTCCACGACGCCAGCGACGTGTCCGTGGCGGTGGCTAGCTCGATGACCCAGTCCTTTTCTAGGGCCAACGTTTGCATATCGTTGAACATTTGGCCCACGGCACTCGCGACAACGGCAACGGCAACCGCGGTGTACAGAGGCCACGGAGTGCCAGCAAAGTTCAAGCTCGACGCGAAGATGGGCGCGAATTGGACAGTGGCGTCGGTAGTAGTATTGGCTACTGGGTTAGAGGGGGCTATGTCGTTGGGGTTAGGGTGGAGGACGGTAGCCGCGACGAGTGCGGTGGCACTGACCACCATCATGCTGGTCATCCCGACGATGCCAGTACGAAGGACATGCCATCGATTCGTTCGATCGACAAATGCGCCCACATGCGGCATGGTCACGATGAGAAAGATGTACACGACGAGCTGAAACAGGACGTTCGGTAGCAGTGTCGTGGGAAAGAACCGGGTGAGCAACAGAGGCACGGCAAACTGCCACATGCGGTCGCCCTAGCCAAATGACGTTAGCAGTGACGTTGTCGTGAGATCTGATGTGGGATCGGACAAACCCAAGCAGTGGCAAAGTGACTCGCGTACAGATAGATATAAATCCGTGGAGAGATTGCTGCAGCCGACGAACGGCCACCGGACGGCGACGACGACCTGCACAAGTCGAGCGCTTGACGACGTATGATGGTACCATGTGATGTGTGTACCCGAGAAGTGGCTGCGTTTCCTCTGAACGGCTGTCCATAACGTACGCGGACAAACACCCGACGATCGGAAGCAACGTACCGAACCCAACGCCGGCGAGGATGGCTCCGATGGCGGAGGTTTGTGCAGGGCACATCGCTGCATGTGCATGGCAGACTGTGCCACGACGCAATATGTCGTTAGAAGATCAAACGAGACGAGTGGCATCATACCCAGTCCATACGTGCCCAACAGGATGCAGATGATTCCTAGGACGATGGATGTGGCCGCCGTCCGATCAAGCGCCGGCAGTCGCAACATCGCGATCTTTCCAACGTGAAAATGCTGACGGTTGATTGGTCAAGATTGAATATTCCTTGCAATAAGATTGGCTGATTCCTGGAGGAATCTCCAATGGCATCTTGCACCCACTGCACTAGTATCAAGCCAAGTAAGCCCATGGAATCTCGACGGCATCGGCGGCAGGTCGTTCGTCCATTGACAATGCTAAGCGAGGAGCTGGAGAAGATGGTGCTATCGTACGTCCCACCCCTTCCGAACTACGTGACGTGGCAGCTTGTGTGCCGTCGGTGGCGTGCCATGCTCCTCAGCCTTCCTGCATTCGACGTCAACTTCGACCTCGTACGGCCGGTCGACAACGGCACGCGATATCTGACGCTTCTTCAACGGTACGCCCTTCGTCTCGAAGCTGCCGACATCACGAGGGTTGATGCAGGTGGCCAATGCTCCGATCCGTGACCATGACGCGTGACATTTTCGTGTCCAACGAACTCACATGGCAGCTCGGGCTATCGCAGCTGGCCCATCTACAACACGTCTCGCTTCGCCATACCCACACCAAAGTGTTGCAAGAGCTCTTTAAGGCATGCCACAGCCTTCGAGTAAGCGTTGTCCCTCTGGCATGTGGCTATTCTGTGCTACTAGACTGTGTCCGTGCTTGGTTGTTCTGACGCGCGACTACCGACTGTGAAGACCAGCCTCCCGTTCCTGCAAAAACTCGAGCTACAAGCCGCCTCCCTCGCAAACAACTCTTCCATCGTGTCCATCCTCCGAAACGCCCCGCAGCTCACCCATCTGGTTGTCTCTGGTACCTCGTCCCAACCATTCATTCTTGACCAAACGTCTCTGTGTAGCCGCCAATGACGTGACATCGCAAGTGCTGGCGCAGCTGGCCGCTTCCTGTCCACTCATTCATCAAGTCGTGCTCAAGTACGTGGTCAACAGTATCTCACACATTTCGTCGTATATCTATCTATCTATTCATGGATATATATATGTAATATATACATGCATGGTTATTACCATACAAAATCCACTATTGGAGGTTGCACCTATAATATGTTTTGAATGCTCGTTATGAAGAAGATGTACTGTGCATTATTCGCTAATTTAAAGTTCGCGTGGTTTGTCTAACCAAGATTGAATCATCACGGTGGAGTTCTAATTGGTTGAAAACATACTTGTCCTTCTGTAAGAGCCAATCAAATCCACTCAAAACTAGATTAGCCAATACTAGCGTCGATTCATGATTCGATTATTCGGCGGCGACATTCGACAGGGTCTGGAGATCTGTACCGAATCCACTATAATTCACAGTGTATTTCGTGGTGTACAAAGTCTTATAGAAGTGACACTAATATCATATGATTCTTCCCTTGATATTGCAATACACTTACCTAGTCAATGTGGACTCATGGTGGCATCCCAAGTTGATACCTTCGTACGCACCTTTCACGCCCAACTCACGTGGTTGGATCTGTCACATTCGCGCGATCTCAAGACGTTTTGCATTGTATGTATGCTCTATTCCTATTCCTCCTTCACACTAACCATGATATTGTATATATATATATATAGAACGACGAACACTCGCTGGTTTTCGACAAGCTCCAAGTATTAGTAGTCGACAATACGCTTATTCGAGACAGTGTGCTGCAGACCGCTCGATGCCCCCACCTCGACGTGTTATCAATCCAAGTACATATTGTTGTTATAATCAAGGCGGTGTTACATAACATGTTAGAACTGCCGGTGCATCACGGATGCCGGGGTCGTGTCCTTTGCCGTGGCGAATGCAGGGGCCCCGCTTACGGTATTCGAAGCCAAGGTGAGGCTAATATGAATGAAACGTGGGGAAGAACTTTTTTTGATGTACCCTCGTGTAAATATCAGTACAATAATCGGTGCAGTACATACATTGAAACAATCCTACGAGGATGATTAGTATTTATAACAATCATAACACTCGTGAACCATGACTTGATCGTGTGCCTTGTTAGAATACAGCCATCACCGATGTTAGCATCAACGCCTTGGCTCAATCGATGCCCCTGCTGACGCATGTAGGCGTCGAGTCATGCCGCGGAGTGTCCCGGGCCGTCCGTCAGCGGTGTGCGCTGCAGTGTCACACCCACGCCATGAGCTACGAGCGGGTGCTGGTAGCCACGAATGCATCAGCGTACCGCAAGGACAATGTCGGGGTCGACTTCGCCGCCAAGCCCATCAAGAAGACATCTGCAGGTTTATTGCCATATGGCCTCGATGAAGATTACAACCCGAGAGATCACCACCAAGAGTTTGAAGAGGATGACACTGACGCGAGCCAACGACGGGGACGCAACGCGCCTGGTAGCCGACCTGCCACACCGAGGCGAAACACTAGGCGTTAGTTAACTCAAGAGACTTCAAGAGAACTTGGAACTACCCTCTCAGGGGTGTATAGCTATGTACCGGCAGTACTGTATGTGTGCCCATCCAGCAGCTGCAGCACGCAATGCAGCCGTTCACTCCCGTGTTGGGACGAACCAGACCAAGCAAACGACGGTTTCAGATTTGAGCGCGTTTCATTGGCGCAAATGCACCAATGAAATCGCAGTGTTTGAATTCCGCGGCGAAATGGATCCCCCGTGGTGTGCATTATTTGAACGATGATGCTGCCAGACTCGTTGTTTCGCGCACTGAGCGTCCTCACGACAGGCTACGCCATGTACTACATCAACATATCTGTGCCCCTGTGGGTTGTTTGCGTCCCTTATGGGGCTGCAATGTGGTGCTGGTGGGTGCTTCGCCACGACAGCGACTGGCAGTTTTCCATCGAAATCGCACAGCCGTTGCACGTGGCGCCGCCCAGCTTTGTGCCGCAACGCGCGGTCGACTGGTCGCCATATCGTGCTCGACTGCAGGCTAGCCCAGACCAAGCCTTGACCGTGTCCACGCGTCGTTGGGCGTACACCGTATTGATCCAAAGTTTGGAATGGCTGTCCGTCGATGTTCATAGCATTCTCGCGAAATGGATCAAAAAAGTGATCCAAGATATCATGACTGCGCTGGCATTGCTTGTCTTAGCCTACGCCGGTGTCTCGCCCAAAGTGCTGCTGTTCCTGGAATTCGCGGTCTCGGATAGCCCCTGCACAAGAATGATCGTCCTTACTCTGAGCGTGATCAGCGGCAACTAGCTCTGCGTTTACTTTCAACCACCGACTCAACTCTTCAGTATGCACCCTCGCCCCGTAGATTGGCTAGAGGACGCTATGAAGTAATCAACTATTAATAGTTAGCTGTTGAACGAATAAAATTTCTTCAAACCAATAATGGCGACTGTGAACAAAGTTTTGACGCATAGCACCAACTAACCGATCTACGAAGCGCATTCAACGCTTAACGTGGACACGACGAGTACCAAAGTTCATTTTGCTAATGTTATTCAAACATATACTTCAACTTCAGTTGTGGTGACATCGTAAAAGCGGGTTAATTATTGTCGATTTGATACAAATTTGGGGAGGGGGTGCAATCGAATCGCGCCAACCAAACCGATCCACAATCGATCTGATTGGTTGAATTTCATTGAGAAGGTTTTGATTGGTTAATAATTTTGAGCTCATCTGAAGTAGCCAATCAAATCGATTTAAATTCCAACGAAAAACCACACCACAACAAGAAATTTCATTCGAAAGCACAATACAATAATTCCCTAATTAAAACAGCCCCAAGGCCCAAGTATGTACAAGGGTGGCAAAAGTCCACTGACCGGTAACTTATTCGATCGTGCTGTTGGTGTCGTGCGTGCGCTACTTACTATATAGGTTACATCATGGATTGTTATGGCTATCTTTCTGTCGACCAGTCCTGCCATCACATTGCACTTGGCAACGGCAAGGTGGACAGGACTTAAGACGAAGTCGTGTGTCCTGTTGTCAAGACCAAAAAGGGTTCAACCTTGTCCATATAAACTCTAACCTCAGGTTGTACCCTCGTGATGTACTTTAGAGTGCGTAACTTTACCAATAATTCATCGTTGCATTTGCAGTGAACGACACAACGACCATCGCGCCAAACGTCATCGTGACATTGCCAAAGGTGATCATCACATGCGTACGTAGAGCTATGTAACACAAGCAGCTGGGTGAATATGTACAATGTAATCGTTCTTGAGCTTTCTAAGTTTCCCTTCTTGGTTCTCAATCACTACAGCTCGCAAGCTGCCACGCAACCTCGTACTACGTACCGTACCCGGAACCTTCAAGAAGTACTATTAGTTTCTGCGGTTGCTCCATATCATCTAGATGGACAGGATGTCGTGAGTTTCCTGCGCATGTTCACCGAGCGTATGATCTTGCAGCCAACGCCCCCTTTGGCATCCTTTCATTTTATTCACAACAGCACCAATTTTTTCCGGATAATACTGTTATTCATAACCGTCGTATCTGAAATTAGTGTAATTTGTGAGCCAATTAAAAGGCCGGAGTCGGTAATCCGTCGCTATGATTGGTGGAATCAAACTGGCGGCACACAGTAAAAAATGCCCATTTTTCGTTTTCCCCCTCGGTCCATATGTTGAAGCCTGAAGAAAATAGTGTGCCAGGAGCAGCGGTTGTCCCGACAGTGGCGCCGGCAGCTCCAGTGGAAGGACACCCGGCTCCGTACACACGAAAGCGCAACCTGCAGCATGTCGCCACGCACGACGACAGACTCCGCGTGATGACGTGGATGCTAGCGAAAGAACAAACTCTCCTTGCCGAGGCTGGCAACGGTTCTAGCGACGGCGGCGCCAAACCCGAGACGTCCAAGATGGCTAAAGTGGATCGGCTGTGTTTGGCGACTCAGGCGATTGCGGAGTTCCCGAGTTTGTTCCGTGGATCTGCACAGGCCAACTACATGAAGGCGAGTCGGTGGTGGAAGGAGAGTCGCGAGTACATCTATGGGACGTCCGGTCTGTACTACATCATCCCTCTCCCCCCCCACGTGTGTACATCTCATGTGTGTCGTTGAAAAATGCAGGCATGACAGGGTCCAAGAAGGCACGAACTGGGCGCGGCCGCAAGACGAATGCATGGACGTCGTGGCTCCAAGACGAGCTCAAGGCCTCACTCGAGGTGGAGGGCACGAACAGCTCGTGGAACAACAAGGATCTTCTCGTACGCCATGCCATCGTTCTAGCATTCTCTCATGCGTCGAACGTAGGTGATGGCCAAGAACATCTTGGACAACTCGACACACCCCGAGTTCAACAAGGACTACATCGTGCCCCAGCGCAACTGCGCGCTCGGCGACCTCGTGAACCTGCGATGGGTGCAAAACTTCAAAGAAAGGTTCCACTACCACCACCATCTGCACACCCACCGACTCCATCAGCATCACGACGACGCGGCCGCGAGTGTGGCGGGGGGCACTGGCGGCGGGCAACAGACTAGCCTGGACGCCGCCATGGAGGCCAAGTTGCTGCACAACTTGGCGACGATTCGAGCGACGAAGGACGGCGCCCCCGTCGTGAAGAAGGAAGTGATGCATCTCGCGAATCAACTCATCCGGGAAGCACACCCCATGTTCAAAGTCGACACGACCTGGTACAAGGCCTTTTGCGACCGGCACCCCGAGGTGGCCGCGCCCAAAGACCAGCTGCCGCCAGCAGCTGTGACACCGGGTATGTCATCGTGATCACGTCATGTCTTATTGCCATGTGTAGCCCTGGCCTTGGATGAGCCGGCAGACCCCACGGACCGACCGTCGCCGTCCTCCACGGCAACGTCGCTTTTGCATCCCGCCGACACCTCCACGTTTCATACAACATCGTCGTCGGTCATTGACGAAGTACGGAATCTCGGATAACGTCATATATATCGTGATGACGTCATATATCGTGATGACGTCTCATATACGTGATAACGTCATATATATCGTGATAACGTCATATATCGTGATGACGTGATCATGGAACGTTGGATTATGGGTGTAGGCCAAGGCCGTGGATGTGTTTCGTGCGATTGCCGCTGGCCTTGTCAACACGGTCAAGAGTTTGCTGTTGCAAGGCGCCAACACGGAAGGCTGTGACGAGGTACATTCCAACTCAGAATACATTATTCCGACTCAGAATCAGAACCATACATTATTCCGACTCAGAATCAGAACCATACGTTATTCCGACTCAGAATCAGAATCAGATGCTGAGAACGGGTGTTGCGTGTATTAATTAGCATGGCTGCACGGCGCTCGTGGTCGCGACAAAGGCCAGCCACTACAATATGGTCAAAGTGTTGTTGGACTGTGGCGCGAAAACCGAAGCCACTGACGAGGTATATATATATATATATCTTTGTATATATATGTATTGAATGGATTGTATATATATATATATATATATGTAGCACGGACAGACGGCGCTGGTGCTGGCCGCCGCATCAGGTCAATTTCATGTGGCCAAGAGTTTATTGGAGCACAAGGCCAACGTGGAAGCGACCAACGACGTACGTCCATAAAACACACCTATAAAAAAAACATATTTTCTGTAAATGGCATATATATTATTAAAAAATATATTATATAGCAAAGCAAGACACCGTTGGTGCTCGCAGCCGAGCGCGGGGACCTGAAGCTCGTGAAGCTCCTCGTGCGGTTTGGAGCTAACGTTGAAGCCCGCGACGAGGTAAATCATCCAATCACATGAGAGGATGGTAGCTATGACGTGGCACGCTCATATGGGAGATCGTTGATTAGGACGACAACACGGCCATTTTAGCCGGGGCCAAGCACGGGCATACGGCTGTGGTGGACTTCCTAGCCAAGAAGGGCGCGGCGGTGTCGGTGGCCGACGTCGAAGGCGTATCGCTGGCGCTCTTGGCCAAACCCACCACCGAAACCACCGCAGAAGATGACGACAACACAGGACCCCCTCCTCCTCCTCCTACTAGTAGTAGTAGTAGCAACGTGTTAATTTGAGTGCACAATAGTAAGTAGTTTATGGGGATTGTTACTATATTAGTACAAGTGTTGATATATGAGTAGGTCGTATTCCACGGTACTAGTTGGGCTACACGTAAAGTATATGTCGATGGATTGTACTCGATGGATGAGCATCCTCCGATTAAAATTACTAGTATACTATTACTAATAGTGTTGGGTTCGTCCGAAATGATTCAAAAGCACAAACTAGTTTACTATTTTTATAATAAAATTAAATACTATTAATAATAGTATTGGGTTCGTCCGAAATGACTCAAAAGCACAAACTAGTTTACTATTTTTATAATAGTATTATATACTGGTATAGTAATAGTATAGTACTACTATTAATCGTTCTGTGCTACTAGAGTAGTACCGAATGATATGAAACACGTTTCGGGTGACGTGATCGACTTTACGAGGCGAACGTGTATCGACGTCTCCAACGCCAGAACACTGCGACTGATTCTCGTGACTACTGTAAACACAATGTACAGAATGTGACAACGTAGCCAACACACACCAGTAGTACATACACAAGTAGTCAGTACCCCCACCCCCCCCCCTTTCACGTGTGTCTTACAAGCGCACAATTGAATAAGTCAACTTGGATTCCAAATATATCATACCAACACCACAACACTATCAAACGTCGTTATCACGTCGAACAGCCGGCCCCGCCAGCCACGCGGAGACACGCCGTGGATTCAAACATGGACAGCAAGCTCGCAACGATCGAGAGCACGAGCACTGAAAACGACACGACGAGGACGGCGCCTCCCACGAGGGGGTAGCTGCCCCCCGTCGCTTTGAGCGTCGCGACCGCCGCCTTTTGCGACGGAAACATCACAACGCACAAGCAGCTGAGGACGGTCGTGCCATATGTGACAAGGTACGTGTACGCGACTTGGTGGCGGACGTGCATCGAATCTTGCTGAATGTCGGACGACGACACGTCGAATTGTGCGCAGTAAATGTTGGTCAATACCGATCCAAAGATGCCAGGGAGGTTGCCCACAGTCGTGAGTAGGCCGTACACGATGCCTTCGTGCCCGTCTTCGGCTAACTCGACGATCACAAACACATTCACAGCCCAGTTGATACCCGCGGGGAGTTGCTCCGTGAGGGGCACGCCCAGGTAGAACCACTGGTTGCGCACGACGCCATAGATGGTGAGAAACTGCACGACGGCATCGATGGCCGTGCCAAGCAGCGTCGTGACCACAATCACAACCCGCCAGTTCCACTGCGTACCGTAGCGACCAGTGGCAGCCAGCACCACTGCGAGAATCAAGTGCCCGAGTACCCCGATCACGGCGTTGTTGATTGATTCGACCTTGGCCCAGTGGTACTTAACGTACGGCGCCGCGGTTGTGGTGAGGTTGGACCCGAGCAACGACGACAAGAAGCTGTACAGCATCACCTGCCACACCGCTCGTTTCTGCACAAGTTTCCAGAATTGCAGCAAGTACGGCCGCAACGGCTGCGGCTCACGCTTGGTGTCGTGGACGCCCCAGTACGTCGCGGGCACTACCGCAAAGTTGACCAGCGCTAGACACCCAAACGCGCCGTTCATGCCCAAGTCCCACGAAAAGCGACCGCCATATGCAGGGGAATTGAGGCAAAAGCCCAGAAAACACGTGGAAA